TCAGTTTTTACTGCTTAACAGAAAACCCACTGTCTACTCACTGGATTTTACACAGAGTGATTACAGAAAAAGAAAAAAAAAAAAGTTATCAGATTTTCAGTTTTCAAGTAACGAAAATAAGAAAATCAGAAGATAGAATCATTTCTAAATCCCTAGAGAAACTATTCTATGTCCTAAATTCTTTACAAAAAGGCAACTTCTCCATTTCAACAGTGGGCAAATGCTTGCATTTAAGAGGAACTAAAAATGGAATCTATACACACACGCACACAAATGCTAATACGCTCATTAAGAGTACCCCAGAATTACAAGGAAAAGCATTCTCTACCACCTCTTACAGCACACAGCCAGCCCCAGCTGCATAGTTTTGCTTTAAAAGATTTGACCTTTCTTACAGAAACTCCTTTATAGTGCCAGAAGGCTGCATGTATACTAGATAAACTGGATACTTTCAAGTAAAAGAACTACTGAAATTACACTTAGATATTTTTTTTTTCAAGGGACAGAAGCGGCATACTCATTTTAAAAAGAAATACAATACCAGACTACCAAAATTATTTAACTGATGACAACTTGGGTGAACAATCACCTGTGCTTTCTTTTTCATTCGAGGATATCAAAGGAAGCTACAACTTATACAAAGCTGATTTGTGTTAATAAGGATAATCTTATGAGGGCTCTCATAAACTGCACATACATAATGGTACAGAAGAACAGCATTAATCTCTCAGCTTACCGTTCTAAAGTACTAGCTGCACCTCTTAGAAACACATATTATTAGACAGTCTTTTCTTTTAATCTTTGTAACAAAAACATCCAACATGAAAAAACTATAGGTTGAGAGCAAACATTAAAACACACTTTCAGCTTTTTTTTTACAAAAAAAAAAACCACAGTGTTGAGATAGCTCAGTTTATGCAAATTAGCTATTCACTAGCAGCAGCAATAATGATTTATGAAGCTTATACAAGTATGAAATTGGAATTACAAGGATTATGGATTTAAATAGAACTAGTTTGAAAAGTTATCTACTGAAATCCAGAAAATTGCTTAAACAATTACTAAGATTACTGAATAAGGCTTGAATTGTATAAGCAAAAACACTGCTTATGTTGTGTCTGCAAACTCAGCTCTTATACAATAGACTGAAGACCTAATACCTAGTCTATTCACACTCAATAAACACTTGTTTAGACCCCGATTCAGAGAACTTTGATTTTTAAATTTACCTTTGAGCATTTATGTATGATCTCACATGACCTTTTAAGGCAAGTTTAAAGAAAGAAATGCATTCTCATAAACTTCCTCTTTCACGTACAACATGCTAGGCTCTCTTCAAAACAATGTATTCCGAAGGACTGCACATTCTCAATGTTGTCTCATTTACTTTGAAATGGTTGCTCTTGACATAAATGTTCTTTGATACAAATACTCCAAACCCTGTGAAACCTAAGAGACTGAAATATTAGAGTATATTTACAATGTTATATAGAAGCTGTGAATACCAGTGTATTCCCAACTGCCACTGGTCTCTGGTCCTCCCAGTTCAGATTTAAGATTAGGCTGAACAGTGCAGTCCTAGTAGGAAACATACATTTTCATCAGTCTCTACCTCCCTCTCAACCAGTTGGAAAATAAGTATAACTCACAGCTCTTCCCAGCCCAGCAATTAGTTATGAGCCAAGTTTCTGCACAAGCAGACTGAAGAAAGAAAGAAATGGCACCTCATTAAAAATAACATAAAGCATCCCATTCTAAAACTCTGCTAAGAAGCATCTTGAGACAGACTTAAGGCTAAGCAGTTAAGACACTTAAAATGAGAATACCCTGAAAATACTTCTAAGTTCAGACAAAGCAAAGTAGAAGAGATAATATAGGTTACAGAAGTTAAATAGATATACTGCTCATTGTTAACTTAAATACACATAAATAGATCAAATAAGAAACAATAGTATAATTCTTAATATTTCTCAAGTGTCATCTTATTCTTCATAGCCAGATGGAAATGTGAAAAAAAAAAAAAAAACCAACCCTATTACAATTATTCTTGAAAAAGCCTGTATTTTACCATGTCTACCAAATACTAGTTGCAAGACAAATTAATAATAAAATTTAGAAGAAGATAGTCTATTTAATATAGTACAGCGTTACATATACTTAACATCAAGAATCACTTATTCCTACAATGCATGTAAAATTGTTATAGATATCAGTTAATACTGCCTAATCCAAATTTATCAAAATAAAAACAGTACCCACAATGTGTCAAAAAAAAAAAAAAAAAAAAAAAGAGTCAAATGCAATAAACGGCTATAACTAAATTGAAACAGGTAAGATACATTCTCTCTTCTTGGGGTATGTAACACCCAAACAAAAGCCTTCTCACAATTGAATCAACTGAAAATAAGTTTATGCAAAACATATGGAAATTCCCTTAAGAGCAACAAACATACAATTCAACAGTCTCTAATTGCACTTGTTGATTATAACTGTAAACAAAGATGATTACACACTGCTAGGTAAGTGGGCTTGCCAATTTATTGCAAAACAAAATTAAATTGAATAAAATGTTCAGAGATATTAAGATGAGAGAACTGTGAAATGAACATATTTTCAAACTATTCATTTTTTTCCCCTCTGAATTTTAAAATATTTACACCAAGTAAATATACAAAGAAATACACAAAAGAGACACCAAGTATCTGGTCATCACTGTTAAACCATACCACAGAGAAGCTCTCTCCGTAATCAGATAAAATCTTTCCTTTCTAACAATGAAGGTAGCTGGGAATCTCATACAACTTGGAGGTGTCAACTATGTCTTCCAAGATCAACACTTCTCATTTTGTTACACCACCTCAATGTATTAGTCTCGTTAAAGAATTCAGCAGATTTCAGAAAAAGAAACAAGCAAGGTATCAAGACTGAAGTTTCTCTTCCACAGTTAAGCAAAAGGCAATACTAGTGAAATGAAAAATAATAAAAAAAAAAAAGAAAAGGCCAGTATAGGAAAGCTGAACAATCAGAGCTAAAGAGTTTAATCAGAGATAACTTTATAATACAATAACATATCTTTCAAATTTGTATTTTGTAGAAAAGTAAAAGACTGGAGAGAACTGAAAGACACCCTAAAGATTCAAACAGAGGAACAAAGTATTTACCAGATAGGTAGCCATAATTCCTCCGCAGTGGAATGTTATACTTTCCCAACATACTAGCCCATTCAAAGTAAATTTTAGCTGTGTGCTACATACTATCATGTGCGTTAATAGGGGAGGTACCAGATCCCCATGCAGCACCAGTGACGGATCACCACAGTGACGGATGCACTTAAGAACAACTACACAAACTTCTCTGCACTTACCACAGAAGGAACTGGGCCAGTATCACATAACCAGAGTAATAAACTCACATGGTTCCAGTTTGGTTTGGCCTAGTTCCATGACTAATATGAGAGAACATGCGCTACAGGCAAGACAGCTAGGAAGCACTCACCGCAGAGACAAGCAAAAAGAGAACAGTCTTGTGACACTCAGTCAGTTTTTATCTTTCCCTCTGAATGGAAAATGGAAATGGAATAACGAAGTCTTCTGAGAACTGTAGTTTCTACTCTTCTGAGAAAGGTACACAGAACTACTGTCAATCCACAGAACTACAGCATTAACTCTAACTCCCAGTGCAGTACATGATGTCATGACATGGAATGCCAGTAACAAAAATCATAAAATCACAACATAGAGCAAGATTGCTTTCCTATAGATACACATACTATGCCTTCTATTCATCCTTCTATTACTAGATAGAATGCCTTTCCTGCAATACTTTTAGTTTTATTTCCCATAATCATGAATCTCTAACCCCTACCACTATATTAGGTTTTGACATGGGAAAGAGAAAGAAGAAAAATGAGAGATGTTAAGAGTTCAATAAACAGGAAGACCAGATTGTCTCTCTTCTGTATGAACACGACTGCAGTCAGTCTAACTCATCCAGACTACTGTTAAGAACCTAATGATTCTCATATGTAAGAAAAAAAAGGGAATTTTCAGTCAATGAGAAGAAAGGGAACAAAAAAAGGTTTCTGCTCTGTAGATGCTCAGTTATTCATAAAATTTAATTTTGTGAATAGTCCGAATAGTTACAGCTAAATTAATTGTTTTGGCTTGAGTAAGGAGTTGGACTCATTGATTCTTATGGGCCCTTTCCAATTCAGGTTATTCTATGATTCTACAATTCTATTCTTAAAGCTCTAAGCCCACACAAAAAACTTTGTTGCCTGAGTAGAACAAAATTTTAAGCAGTAGAGCACTAGAAAAGCACAATGGAATACAGAGATTAATGCTAAATTCTACTCTCAAGTAAAAAAAGTTAAGTATTTCTTGAGCCTAAGAAGCAACAGTTCTTCTAAAAAAAATAAATAAATAAATAAAGCAAGCAAAAAAAAGAAACTCAAAACCCATTACCAAACAAAAATGAATGAAAAAAAACTCACAGCACCATCCAGCAGAAAAGTTAAGAGCAAACATAGTGACAAGGAAGTGACACACAAGGTCTTGTGATAATTTATGCAGTGAGTTTGGAGGTTATTCACACACAAAAAATAAGTTACTTTTCAATTGTAACGTATATCTACCTGAGCATATGAGAACAAAGTGCCTGCACTATTAAGGCAAAAAAACACTTGTAAAGGATAAGCTTAAGTGCAAACAGAACCTTCTGTTTTTCTGTAATTAACAAGGGCCTTAGAGAGCAAGATGACTGGAAAAGCTTGCACAACTCTGCAGTTCAGAATTCTGTATCACTCATGATTATTTACTTTAGCAAAACTGCATTTTCAACACACATAATAAAGTCTTATTCAACATCAGACTTAAAAATTATTATATCCATACTTTTATATTTAAAGTTATTATATAATATTCAAGATGCCCAAAACATAAGTTATTTTAAACAAAACTATTATGAATACAAAGTATAACAATAACTCAGCTATTATTTACCGTATTTCTGATTGGAATTTTCTTCGGTTCTGGTGGCACATCCTGAGGAACAAATTTCACTGGTTCCTTAATCTGCCTACGTGATCTTTTGGTCCCATCTGGTAAGGTTTCCATGGCAATATCAGCTTCCATGTCACTGCTACCTGCCTGGTCACACTCTGAGCACTGCCTGCAAAGCGAAAGATTTTTTATTTAAAACTGCAGTCACAAAAGCACAAAAACAAATGTTTCTGAGGTAGAAAAAAAAGAAAAAAAAAAAAAAAGGGTTTGGGTTTCAGAGAAGTTAGTAAAGCCAATAGCAACTAAAAGAATCTCTCAAAGGCATGATAATTTACTCATCTGCGCATAAAAACAGCAAAATGTTCTGTTACTGTGCTTTTTTTTTTTTTCCCCTGACAGTTCTTGTATTTTGAAAAACCAAGATTTTAGAAGTAGAATAAAATCTTGTTTCAGTATTCAAATTCTACCATATCTCTATTTTTAACTGTATTCACTCACTTGTAATCTATCAATTATTGAAAATGCTGCTGTAGTTTAATCTCCACAATAATACATTGATGACATCATTCTGATGAGAGTGGTCTTCAGCAGCAGGGATTTAGAAAAAAATTATCCATTTTGAAAATCAACTGTAAAATCTATTTCCTAAGGGAGAAGATTTTAAATCTAAGAAAAAGTTATGCATTAACAATCTTTGAACAATATGTTGAAAAAATATGCCTGTTGAATTTCTGAGAAACTACCTAATCACAACCTGAACTTCAAAGTATACCTTGTCTGAGGAAATGCTATTTACAAGCTCCAAGACGGGAAGTCATCAAGTTTTGTTCTCATTTGCAGAAATGATTCATTTTACGCAAAGTCATTTTAAAAGCAGATGGTAACTAAAAATACCATGAATATAAATTTTCATAAATGAATATAAATTTTTCATAAATGAAAATTTAAAAAAAAAAAATGATATCCCAATGGAGGATGGGTAAACTGATGATAAAGGATTTGCATTTTTTCCTCACATATACTTTTCAATTCAAACTATAAAGCCTCTCAAGCAAATTCTAATTCATCACTGTTTTTGTATATTCAAAATATTTCTTTAATTGTATTAACTAAAAAATAAAAATGTCCTGCTATTGATTAGCATTAAAAGGGATACATACATTATCTAAATGAAGTTGCAAATTTGCTCTGCAAGGAGACAAACCAAAATAAATGTACTTCGTTATTTGTAGTTAAATATTAATAAACACTTGAGAGAAATCATGCCCATCACGCAACAAACTAAAAGAACAAATGTTGTGTATGTACTGATTTCTTCATCTATGAATGTTCAACAGAAACAGTTTTGCTCCTGTAATTTCAACTCATGTGATCTTAAAAAGCTAACAGTCTTGCCTTTATTTGAAATGCCATTGCTGATTACTGGTATATTGCTTTTAGTCCAAATTCCAATTCCTGTTCAACTCAACAGAAGAGTACCACAAATACTACATACAAAATGCCTTTATATTGCATCTTAAACAAAAACTGCTTCTGATACATGCTTCCATTTTTTTTTTTTTTTTTAAACATACCAACTAAAAAAAAAAAAAAAAGCACAAAAAAGAAGTCCAGCCCACTGATGGTCTTACAGTCTATTCCAATAGGAATCAAATCAAATTAAACAACTAGCTACACCTACAGCTACTGGCAATAGCAGTCTGCTAGACAAACCAGTGGCTGACAAGTTAAATTGCAGAGGGTCTAATCCTGGACTGAGGAGTGATTACTAGTGTGACCTTGGTGAAATCAACACATTTCTGCTTTAATTTTTCCATGTGTAAAATTAACATAACTGCTGCTGCATTATAATGTTATGAAGATTAATCTTTCTTATCGTTAATGCACTTCAGACCACTAAAAACAGGCCACATGATAGTGCTAGTGGCATTTACTGATCTAGAAAAACACAAGTACTACAAGGCAGACAAGGCAGGAAAGTTATCACTGTATGAAGATTTCATTACCAAACCACAAGAAAGTCAGCCCTTCGTTGACACTGCAGCATCAGTCACATTTATATGGAAAGCACAACTAAAATCATTTGATATGATCTGCTTACACTGACGTAAGCAATAGATGTGAAACTGTTCCTAAAGTGCTATTCTGAGCAATTCTCACACAAAAAAAAAATCCCCAATGTTATGCTAAAAGCATGTACTGTACATAAAATAAATAAATAATAATAAAAAAAACCCATGAAACAACTATAATTAAAGAACTGCATTAAAAATGTTCTGTAAAAGAAAAAGCAGTGATAGGGATCTTAGGAAAATGTCTGGAGCTGGGAACCTAGCCTGTTGAATCTGACATTCTGTATCATTAACATTCCCATTGTTTAGCTGTCAACTGCTAAAAGGAAAAGACATGTTACTCTGCCCTCCATACGCTCAGGCAATTGCACAGAAAACAAACTATGTAGACCTGTAAGGTACTCTAATTTCACTAGGGCCCTATTTAAACACAAATATGTTACTGTAACTTTGATCGAGAAGATAATAAGCATTTAATCCAAAAGTGAAGATACTTCCTGCAGGTTTCTGAAATTCCATTTCTACGACAAAGCTTACTCTGAAACAGGTGGTAAGAGTCTCACAGCAATCAAAGAAGAAAGGAAGCTACACAAAAAGAAAGCTGCAAAACCACAGCACGTTGGAAGGTAGGGGGTAAACACAGAACAAAACCTTACTAATATACCAAAGATGAAGAGGAAAAAAAGTTACAAACACGAACTTCCAAGGAAACTCTTAATTTACTGAAATAGCCTCTACTATCACAGGTAACTACATCTTATCAACTCTTTTATAAAGCAGTCAAGCTATAAAGTTGTTTTGTTGTTAGCTCCCAAAGGATCCACAGAAAAGCTATTACAGAAATACAGTCTTCTATGTTGGAAACAATCTTCTTAACTTTCAGTTCCTATTATGGTTTATTTCAACATGGTTCTTGAATTTAAAGCACTCCTTTTTTCCATTCTGCTATTTAATCCCAATATATTCATAGAAAGCACAGAACTCCCATTTCTTCTCTGGCAATACTAAAGTCATGTTCATTTTATTTTGTCTCTTCAATGACAATCAGTGAATTGAGAACCTATCACAACAGGTCATCTTCCCATCTGTTCAGACTATGTCTTAATTAGCAAGTATTGCTATGCAGCACAAGTAATTTGATAGGAACAACAGTGCTGAAGATTCTATTTCTGTACATGGCTTTTGTTTTGCTTTTACTCTGGATTTGCTTAATCTAGCCTCAGGGAAAATCAGTAGTTAATGTAATAATCTTCTGGACTCATCTGAAAAGAACGCAGTAACTATGTTCCATGGTCTGCAATGCAAACTGCAAAGCAGCAAGTGATTTACTCCAAGCTGCACATTAAAATGTTGAAATAGATTTGCCCCCTGTAGAAAACTGGAGACCATAACTGAACATAATGTTCTGGGCATACTATCCATGTCTTACACCAAAGCACCACAGCATGGCTTAACAGAAGTTTCCTATATTTCAGATGTGATTTTCTGTTCTTTTTTAAACTTACTGTAAAAATTCTTGTAGTATAACTAAGGTAAAATCCATTACATTATTGGACATCAACTAAATACGACAAGAGATTTGACAGCCAAAAAAAACATTTTCAACATAAAAACCTACTCAACAGAAGTATGACTTTACACTTTCCTTAAATGACCATTAAATACATAATTCTGAGAGCTTTCACACTGATCATAATGCTGCTTTCTTGCTTCCTTTTATGTGAAAACAACTAAAAAAAAAAAAGGCTTCTACATCTTTTCAAAGGCAAATACAAATGCCAAATTTAAACAAAAGTTAAATGAAGGTACTGCAACATTTTATTCCCATGAGTAATGGCATTATTCAAATCTTCAGACATCTGTTTATGTATTGGTCATACAAAAAACATTTCCTTTCATCAATAAAGATAACACTACCACGGTATTATTACAACCGCCATAACTTCATGATGCAGATACAAGTTGTTGTTTTTCATACCACAAAATGCTTTAAGTCTCACAAAAACATTTTACTTTAGGGTAAGCACCTTAAGACCAAAGAGTGCTTTCTTCTTGCAAAGTTTTAGGAAATAGAGCATGAATATATATTTTAACCTAGAAATAGATAAAAATGAAAAACTTAAGGCCTACATTACCAATAAAACAAGGCCTACATTACCAATAAAACAAAAAGGAACATTTAGAAATTATCTTTGTGAAGTGAGGACATCTAGAAATACTTTGAAATTATAATTTGGGTTTTCTTTAATGAATTAGCCCTTAAATATTACCATGGTTTTAATCTTTTTCTTACATTTAATAGTGGATTTATTTCAACAATTCCAAAATCCGTTTTTGTAAGCCACAATGTAAATTCCTAAAAAAAGCAATGAGCATGAAGTGGACAAAAATAAAGTACAATTAACCAATCCACATAGTGGCACAGACATAAGCTGAATCATTTAGTAGTCTCAAAAAAAAAAAAAAAAAAAAAAAAACACACTAAGCACATGGAATAACCTCATTCTAAACCAACCAAAGATTAAATAAATAAATATACAGGTATAAATTATATGACAGCTTTGTTGCCAAACCTCTTTTAAAGGCTTAATTCAATAATTATAAAGTAAATTATTACCAGTGATAATGAAATGGAAAACAAAAATCAAGAAAATTATTTTCAAGTATTTCCTGTTTTCAATGTGGATTAAAGTCGATACTTTTAATCACTTCAAATAAAATATTTCAACCTGTCTAACATTTCAAGGAATTTCCCACAGTAGCCATTTTGTTACTTAACCTTTTGCTTAAATTCACATTATATTCTACAGAAATATCTGGAAAGCACATTAAAAAAAATCTGCATTTTTATTCACTGCTTAATCAAAAGATTAAAAATTTATTCACAACAGCAGGAGGGAAAAACCTGCTGAACTCCAACTTAGATTAAGGGTCCATTCAATATGCTCTCTACTGATCCTGAAAAGAATACATAAAGGCATGTAAATGATGAAAAGAATGTAATCAATACAGATCAATTTGTCTGCTATAATCTCACTCTCTAGAATAAGTCTTAACTAATTAGAAGTAAAAGCAAACTGTGATCTGAGGTATAACTGAAGCATGAATTAACAACAAAGATAAGTCAGAACTTTGAAATAAAAGCATGTGCTACCTGTCCAATTCTGTCTTTAACACCGATTGAGAATTACAGTTTCACATCTTTGACCAATGGCTGTTAGAGAGCCTTTTCAACTCAAGTTAAAAAGCAGGAGAAAAAAAAAAAAAAAAAAAAAGAACATCCTGTAAAAAATTTCCATGTAACTGCTTTATAAATTTGACCAAAGATATGATTAGAATTTCTTCAAAATAGCCTGAAGTCCAAAATCATGTATTGAATAATTTAAGGGAAACTACGTTCAGAAAAAAATTTAGTGAGTGAATCTAAGCTTTTCAGCTTTTCAAGTAAATCTCAAACTATTAAGTTCACTAGTATAAATTCAGGCTGTATTGTATTATGATAAAAATAAAGAAAAAGAAAAGAGACTTCTCATTTCAGGTATCAGCCACCTTGATCTGCACACAATATATCATCAAAATAAAGCAAAAAATATTATTTAGGTGTTCTTTGGAAGTCTAAAGAAAAATGTAAGTGACATATTAAAAAAAATAGAAGCAGAGTTTTCTTGATTATAATCACTACATTGTATTTTCAGAAGGAATTCTTAGTATATACTCATCTGGTATCTTAACATTCAGACTAGGTGATGACAATTCCTAGAGATGCTGTACACTAAATTCTTTCCAGATAAAAACTGTTTCCAACACACTTCAGAGCACTTTAGAAACATGCAGAACAGAATAATACAGTAATTCTAGTGCAATTAGAACTGCTAAAATGTAGAGGTGCTGATTTCTCTATTATAACACTTAGCTTTTGTTCTGCTCCACTTCCACAAAAGTAATTTTAATTCATGGAAACGTAATTGTAGTAAGTACATTCATACATGTGCTTTTGCCATTGCAGAAGACAGAATTAACCCAAGATTTCCTATATTGCAATAAAATGATTTACCACTAACAAGTTTACTTTTAATTACTTGCAAGTATTTTCTTAAAGATCTAGACAGAAGAGCTGTGTATCTGTGCCCTGAGACAAACAAAACCAAGTTTTTCATTTCCTGTGGTTTTCTAATATTATTACATATCATCATCAGTAGTCACAGAAAGCAAAAGCTAAGAAAAGTAAAGTTGTAACCTATTTGTATGAGGACACTAATAAGAAATCTTTGCCACATTACATTCTACCTGCAGTCATTACTGCTGAAAATAAAATAACCCTAACCTAAGATAGCAAAATTTAAAACGAACAATTGGTTAGCTAGTTCATGCTTATGTCCTACTTTAAGTACAGATGTAATGTAAGATAAATAACCAATTGCATTCTTACCAGTAACTGTTCTTGGTCTTCCTGGGCATCCTTGTAAGAGGTGGATCCAGACAACCAAGGTGATAATGGAGTTTACAAGTGTCACACAGTAATAGTAGGTGCTGATCATGATTCTTCTTGCAAATTCCACAACTTTTTAATGTAGGCAATAGAAAAACATTATAATTACATTTGAAATTACAAAGATCAAATGACAGTTTCAGTATCAGCACGTGGCAACTACTTTCACATAAGTGTATAACTATTTTTATGGAAGTTCTACCTATATACAGTAAAACGTAAAAGACGCCTAATGTAGTTAACAATAAAGAGATCTTCAATCTAATTGTTAAGGACTTTTAACCAGTGAGCAATTACTTGATAATCAGACAAAACATATTAATGGCAAATGGAAAAGAATACTATCTTTACCATCCAAATACTTAAACAGAGAAACTATACCACTATTATCAGTCTTAGTAATCAGACTTATTCCAATAATGCAAAGACCTCAAAACAGGTCTGTGCTGCTATTACACTACGTAATATACCAGCTAATAGAAAATTACATTTCATTACTATTATTTTAATAGAATTAATATTTTCGTTCAATTATTTCCAAAGGATCAGATGTTTATTGATCATCTTATAGGAGGAGCTAAATGACTAGACTGTGAATGAAACAGAATGTAACTTCCATTGTTTGTCTACACGTGTAAAATTGTGAAATCCTCACCCCTCTCACATGTTCTCAAGATTTCAGCCTCTCACAGTACTAGAATCAACTTCTACATCTTCTTTGTTTATCCTAATAGCTGGGCAAGATACTGTTTATATTCTGTGGTTAGAGGAATGACAGCTGCCCTCTCCATAAGCCACTGACTGCCACTTCCCAGCTGGCAGCAAGATAAATATATTCAAGAGTATGGTCATGTTCTGAGATATCCTAGAATATATACCACCTTTAAGGTTACTTAAAATCTCATCAGTAGCTTCATAACATACAGCAGGTGAAATAAAGTGTACATTAACAGAGTAAGTGAATATTTTCTTGGAAAAAAGTAAAAAAAAGCACAAGTAGGGAAATTTGAAAAACAAGATATCCCAAAGCATGACAGTCCAAATAAAAAGTAAATAAAAAGTATTTTTATATGATAGGTACATTATGCACCCAGCCAGTGACTAAATAGTAGTTCGCAAAATCATCAATATGGATGATTACGTTGAAAAACACAATACAACCAGTTAAAAATTTTGTATCACGCATTAAAAAAAGACTGAATCAATTGTAAAGTTACCTTTGTTCTCAAAGCACTGCTATCATGTTAGCAAAGGAAAAGCTCATTGATGTATGCTAAGGGGAATAAATGATTACTTCCTCAACATAGCCTTCAGAAATAAAGCATTTAAGACAATTCTGAAGCATTTTGTTAATCAAAATTTAAACAAACTATTTTCTCTCACTAATTTTTTGAAACTGCAACTTAATAAAAAAAATGTATCCATTCTGTCAAGACTTCATTACTTGCCTATAAAGTACAGCTGGGAGCGTAGATGCCTTTTGTGTTCCCCCTTCCTTTTTACTTGGTTTTCTTTCCTTAGGAGCACGTAAAATTGCAGGTATGTTCAATTTCTATTGGATATGAACAAACACAGTACAATGAGTCTTGGGACTTTTAAAGAATTTCATTCCAATCTCAATACATGAAGAACAGGACTCAAACTGAACGGGAAATGGCTCAGCCAGCTATTTTGCAAACAAAAGCAACTACAGATGCTTACAATACAAATTTATATTGGGGTAAAGTATTATTATATTCATTTTTCAATTCAGTAAGCACAATGAACTACTAGCACTTAAAAAAATAATTTCAAGCTTTAAGACAGAAGAAAGGACAAATATGTATAGGTCTACCAAGTAGAAATAAGGAAAGCAAAATTCACAAAACTGACAGAATAATGGTAAGACAGTTTGCTTTTCACCCAACATTCCTACTACACTGATGCTCGATAGGTTAATTAGAAAAATTATCTTATTGGACCAAGCCTTCCACAAAGCAGACAAGATTCTCTTTGGATTTCTAGTAATCTGCAGTACGCTGGCTTCCCAGACAGCAGCCATCTATCAAAGTCATTTCTCAGCAGCCCCATGGGTCTGCATCTGTTCAACCAACTGGAAAAAAAGTCATGCAAGCTGTGCAAATGAGTTCTACTTTTTTTTTTTTTCTTTTTGGTAACATTTGCCATGAGGAAATATATTTGTGAATACTTTTTTCAAACCCATCTTAAAAAGGAGATAAAAATCCTTATCCAAAAGATGCAATGCAATGTACTGCTTGAAGTATTTTTTTCCACATGTAGGAGCAATAGGCTGACCAAAAAGAACAAGAAAAAAAGAACATCTAACAAAGCATGAACTAAAGCTCCACAAACAAAGGCTAAGTTTCATTTCCTGAACAGCAGCACAAACTAAGCAGTAGCAAAAGTCATCAAAAAATTATGTTTATCTGCATTTTCACAATGAACAATTTTCTCAATCTTTTTTAAAACTGTAAGAGAAAATCATTTCAACCTCTCTCTGAAAGCTAAAATGTCTACAGTCATTTAATATTTTTTATATCAAACACATAAATACTGTTCTCTCTTTTCTACATCAAAGGGAACCTTTTCTGTATCAAAGGGAAAAAAGATAACTATTGGCAACAGGAAATAATTCAAATCTTCTGTTCTCCTACTTTTTATATTCATTTTACCAAATACTCTACTCTGTCCAGTTTGAAAAACAACCATGTACATAGTGTATCTTATATAAGCCACCAAGTTCTCATAACGTTTGAAGCCTGCAGTAAACAAAGACAACATAGGGACAAAAATGGTGAGATTAACTTGTGTTTCATGTTCAGCTTCAGAAAGATGATAGGTCAATCAGTTCTAACAAACAAGAATTTTGTAAACAAGATCGCTACTACAACATAATTAAACTACAGATTTCCAGTAGGTGGTTTGCAGAGTCTATACATTTCAATCAGGAAACATTATCCAGAGAATGAAGCCTAGGTCTGATCAAATCAATTTATTTGACCACAAAAATGACATGCAGAACCAAAAAAGTTCACTCTTGGAAAACTAGGTCCACCTATGAACTATAAAAACAAAATGAAACCAACCTGTCCAATGATTCTACCCAGCAGAGCCCAAATGCCTTGCCCTTCATTTCGTAGTTTTCCATTCATATTTTGTAGCTCTTCCAAAGATTCACAAAGCTGAGCAGTTAAAGGAAAAAAAAAACAGGAAAGAAATCATTAAAGTGTATTTAATAAAATTTCTTTAACTTCTTACCTACCAAAGGTGCATTACTTTATTGGAAAACTGAAAAAAATGGATGCATGTCAAAATAGCTGAGATCACTGTGATTCTTCAGCAACTTAAAATGAAAACGTGGGCAGCCATCTGTTTTAAGACGATGATCTGAAGCATTTTAGCATAAAAAGGAGATTCCATAAATAAAATTAGAAAGTAAAGTTCAAAATACAGAAGTGTCTCATATGTACTGCCCCTACCACTTAAGCAGCAAAATTATAGCAAGTGACCATCAAAATGATTAAAGTTCTAATTTGCCATACTGAAGAAATTTCACTCACTCTACTGGAGAAACAATTTATTAAAAGGATGCAAAGAGAAAAGAGATATTTTTCTCAGGAAGTAACCATACAGCATATGCAACCTTTTCACGTGGATAAAAAACCTCCCTCTTCCAGTCTCCCTTTCCCTTCAAACTCTGCAACTCATATGAGCCTGCTGCTTCATTTACATACACTCTCATTTAAAACACATGGCTACCAGTTTAAGAGTTAATGACAACACTATATTTTGTTACCAGTAATCACCGATTGGTCCAATAATGAATGGAGCAAGAATTTTAATGTCATCTGTTACAAAAGCATTCCTATGATCTATTTAAAATATTTAAATGTTAAAGAAATAATTATTGAGTAAAACATGTGCATTAAAAAAAAGTTTTAATTACAACTGCTATGTTAGAAAAGGACTGTAAACCTGTTGTCTCAAATGAAATGCATATTAAGAACAAAAAAATGAACAGCCTTAAGATTGCTCTTAAGAGAGGGCTCTGTCTGTGATTTGTTACTGAAACCATCTGTGGGGACAATTAAAGAATCAGTGCACAGGCAATGTTGACTCTGCTGGCATACTGAGATAGGGGGACCAATAACCACAGAAAATTTTAAGAAGAGTATTTTAAAATACTACTTTTCTTTAAAGACTGAATATTATCTTTTTCTTTCTAAGACATTCTTTTCAAAAAGTGGAATGCTATCAAAGTTAATAGTAGCCATATTAAACAGTACAATGGTTCATTATCCTTTTTTCCTCACCTTATTATACTCCACATGAAGCTTTTCTTGCTCATTTTCTAATTTGTCCTTGATATTCCTCTGCTCAGCCATATTCTCCTGGATTTGAATCATGCGCATATTTCTCTCTATTTAAAAGAAAATTTCTTTATTTTCTAGCCTTGGCTATGTTTTCAAGTTCTACACACTGTAAAAGTGGAGCAACAAAGAGCATAAAACCATTAAAAAAAAAAAAACCCACACAGTTATAGGTTTATTACACAGCCTTGGCAGAATGAACGTTCCTAACATTTACTTTTTGCTGCATACAATAACCTAGTACAGTTATTAACGGTGATCTCTGATCAGCTAATCCACAGGACAGTCAACGTCAAAAACATGCCATTCCACACTAAGGAAAGCATAGAAAAGATACTAAAGGCACCTAAGCTTCCAATCCCTTCTTAAAATCGACACCTCTGCCTGTTTATGTTTGAAAGATGTTTCTCTTCTCCCAAAATCCTTTAAAAAGAAAAGTCATTAACATTCTGTATATTGGGCAATAAGGTTTCTGACCAAAAATGAAAAAAAAAAATTCCTATTTGCCTATTAACAAAGAAATACAAGAAAAAAAAGTACAAATACAGCAAAATGATTATTTTTCTTTGAGAAGAATATGCGATTTTGATCCTTACCAAGGTAGTAATTGACAAAATCAGCAGTGAGGGCTGGTTGTTTATGTTTTCTTCTTCCATCAACACTGGAACTAGTATCTGAAGTATCAACTGGAAAAATGTCTGTACTAATTCCCATTAATTCAGCTTTGCGCATAAGCTTGCGAATGGCTGAAGCACTGCTAGTGAGTGGTCGTGGTAGCTTCTCCCTGGGAACCCAGGCCTGTGGCCTGGTGGTACGAGCCAGCTCTGCCTTGGCACGATACTGCTGTAGTCTGGCATTGATTCGAGCCTACAACAAAAACTTCCATGAAATAAGAATTTAAGGGAACAATTCAAAATCATTTTTGAGCTCCAAAGTTTCTGAAAGAGACTGCATCTTATTTTCAGTTTAAAAGCTGAAGAATCTGATAAATACTGTTTTAATTACAACATTTTGACTCAAAAAATACACTAACAGACATTTGATTTTACTTCAAAAAGCATATTTAAATAGCATTACCCTTTCACTAGGTTTTAGAGGATTTCACTGATTCCTTGATGACGTTACTTCATTAACATGAATTATTGCTGGCTTCAGACAATCCTTTCCAAAAATGATAATCTGATGGAACCATGAAAACTCATTGGGAAAAACCTTGGCTGACCTGTCAAAAATACATTAAGCATGGCCATCAGGTCAAGAGGACCCCTGCACTCTGCCGTAGTGAAGCCACATATGAAGGCTTCTGTACATTATTGAAGTGAGGACTCCAGGAAAGGCAGGAAACTTCTAGACAGCTCAACAGAGGACGAGAAGGATGATTAGGCATCTGGAGCACCTCCCTTATGAGGAAAGGCTGAGAGACCTCCAACTGTTCAGTGCAGAGAAGACAGAGGGGAGATCTTACCAATACTTACAAACACCTACTGGATAGGTGCCAAGAGGATGGAGCCAGCCTCTTTTCAGCAGTGCCCAGGTACAGAACAAAAGACAACGGGCACAAACTGGAACACAGGAAGCTCCATACGAGTGTAAGAAAGAACTTATTTACTTTGAGAGTGACAACAATAGAACAAGATGCCCAGGGAGGCTGTGGACTGTCCATGCCTTAAAGTATTCAAAACCCACCTGGAAGCTTTTCTGTGCAACCTACTGTAAGGAACCCGCTTTAGCAGGTTAGTTGGACTAGATGATCTCCAGAAGTCCCTTCCAAACTCCGTGACTCTGAGATCTATGTGAGCAGTAAAATTTGGTGAACAGTATTTTTGCCCTATGACACTCTTTTGTAGGAATTCCTTTTTCAATGCCCTCTCTTTTTACAATGTTAAACTAGTTTATTATAATATGCCAAAGCCTTAGCCCAAAGGGAACTGAAATCAGCAGAAGCTCACAATACATGTTGTTGATGACATCTGTACATTTGTGACCATCTGGGAGATCAGACCCAGATCAATCAAGTTGTTGCTGACAGTTGGAAAAAATTGTCTTGTGGGAACTCTATGCAGCAGCAAGTCTGGCAGAAAATGACATCAATATACAAACCTTCAGAGACTAAGTTTCAGCTGACTATGACTTAGAAGTTGTTCATTTGCCAGTATAAAGAAGCAGCTAACCCAATCTTACTACCCCACCGTATGGTATGAAATACTCCTGAGACAAAAGCAAAAAAGTTTGCATTTCTATATATGCCATGGGTAAGGAACATCTTTGATTACAAACAGCATTGCTTAAGGTTTTGTTAAAGATGCAGTTTAATACATTACCTTACTAGATCTCGAACATCCAACTGATAATCTTGGTCGATAATCTCGACCAAGAAACACAAGATTAAGCCCAAAATCTTTTATCTTGAACAAAAGCAGCAAGCATTTACCACCTTGCTTTATTCTTCCCCAGAACAAACAAGGATGGCTTGGTCTCGATGCCTCTTTACTTGATGATGTGCTCAGTTTGGAAAGTCATGAAGTCATTTAATGTTGTCGTATTGGCAGAGACCAATTCCAGAAATAGCTGACAGATCAGACTGACTAGTTTAAACAAAATTCTTAACTGTAAGAATGTATTTAGGTAATTTTGAATTACATACTTTATACATGTAATGTACACTTCCTTTATTGATATAAAGGAAGTATTTCAACATATAATATTTTCCAGCAATCAACAGTTCTAGATATATAACTTAAGGATTTTCCTTCTTTTGGGACACAGGACTTGCCAAACCGTTAGCTCAGCTACTCCTGTGAGGGTTAGAAAGCATCAAGCACCACCTTCTTCTCCTCTTGAAATGTGTCTCAAAAATACACTTTCATAGCAACACACAAGTTATTTGTACAACTGCATACTCATTTACCAACATTTGGAAACCTTACTTAAGCTTTAAAACTCCCATGGAAGTAAGTTTCTTTATGTGTGTATATGCATATGTATTCACATGCAAGATATGATTTTGTATGTACTTTGTGTCTACTTCCCAATCAAACATTTCTGGTATGTATTAAGAAATCTTTGGAGTTCTAAAAGTGCATAGGAACCATTCAAACAATTATTTCATAAAAACTCCATACTCATGGAGTCTTGCTTTGGAAGAAAGAGCAGGAAGAGAAGAAAATGCAGGGAACTTACTAGTATTAGCAGCACTGTATAACAAAAGCAGAGCTCTAACCAAAAGCCTAAAAAAATAAAGCAAGTGTGAGCCCCACTGGACCCACACTAATTTTGCACAACCAATACCTACCACAGTGATATGAATACTATCCAGCATAATGATGTCTCCACTACATAGTGATATTTCACATAATTGAGACCTGAGAATGCTACACATTTATGTAACTCGTTTTCAATCATCTCACACCAAGGCTGAATGCCTCACAGAAATATTTTATTCAAAACTCTTCTGCGACAGAGTTTGTTTCAGAATGAATATGAACACATGGATCATTCTAAATTTAAGTTTTCTATGCCTGTTTAAATATCCTTGAAGAACTAGAAATATGTTTTTTTTTTAAAGAAAGATTTTGATCATATGAAAATTTATTTTCTAGTTATTATACAGCAGTTCTACGTTCAGAAAAAGTTTTTTCTCTCCATAATTTCACTCTTCCATTATTTACAAAGCATCTCCCAAGGCCAACAACAAATCAGGCACAATTCCTTCAAGCAACAAGCTGCTTTTCTACATAGCTACTATTTGTCCACAGAGTTCAGTACAGCCTTAGTAGTGAAAGTCAAGTAGCCCACAAATTTCTCAGATAAAGGAAAAAAATAGCTACACACATTTAAACAAACTCAGGTACACAGATTCCCTTGGAAGTACTGAAATCTTTATATCAATGTATATCAGCTAAACTTATGGAATAACAGTTCTGTATGGTTCAGTCAGTAGACAAGGATACAGACATTGCCTTTCAGGTATCTCCTACTCAGTAGTATATACATATATACGTATATGTATATATATACATATATATATGTGTATGTATATACACACACACACACACACACACACAGAGTGTATAGAAATACCTAATACATATAAAACAAAAGAGAATACCTGCACATAAAATTCCAGTAAGCTCTACAATAAGTGAAAAAGTGATCTAGCAAGGAAAATTTTCAGGCTACCTAACTGTTCAGCTAATTTCAAAATATTATGACAGAAAACAGAAGTAGATTTTCACTGAATAGAAAAAAGCTTTAAAAAAAAATAATCTATGAATCACAATGAAAATGTAATTACCATATTTGGGCAAACAAATACAATTTTTTAATTCAGTTAAGATAGATTCCTAGCTGACAATAAGTTGACTGAGAATAGTCCTCAGAAGCCCAAACCTGTATATAATTCTCTGATATGTGAACTATGTGCCATCAATACATTTCACATTTAATTTCCCTTCAACAATAGCAATCACCCATTCTCTTTCTTTCTTGTTTAGCGTGGATGATTGATGCAGACACATTTGTGTAAGAAATATAATACCTGAGCTTCTGGCGAGAGCTGCTTTTCTCTTTCTTGCAAGGACATTTTACAGTAAGACTGTAATGCCAAGTAGTTTTTCCGTTTCCATTTTCTGTCTAACCTGTCCGCATGCTGTTTACAATAAGCAAAAAAAGGATCAGCTATATCCTGTTTCAGAGAAAACAAAGGAGAAGGAACAAAAATATAAGTTAAGATATACAATGTCAAAAGGCTCTAAAAAGCACAGACATTGTGCCAACAGATCATGTGTTCAAACAGACTTTTTTTTTTCCAAGTATGCACGTTTCTACATCAATTCTGTCATATTGATATGGTTTACCATATAAAGGGTCTTTCCATCTTTTTCACTGCACGACCCTGAACATTTTTAAATGCATTAAGCAGTTAGCTCAGTACTACTTCATTTCTGCACTATTTTCTCATCCCAGAAAAAAAAAAAAAATTGCAGAAAAAAATTCAAATGCATTTCACATATAACATTTACAGCTAACTTCTCGCTGCTTCACTGAGTTATCTTTTGCATAAAATCCTGCAAGGGACTGACAACTGAATAATATGAAAGTCAATATATTTCATTTCCTCAAATGATTTTTCAGTGACTTTTGTCTGATTATTAATCTCTCAGATTATTTTTGTTCCAATTTCTACTACTTAGTTCCACCAAATTTGCACATCATAATGTCTGAAAGTTTATAGCAACTTTTAGTATATGCAAATACTGCAAGTAGTTTGCAAATATCTGAGCCAAGATGATACTCGCTTTGAGAAGGTACATTTTATTGCCAGCATATTTTCAAAACTGCTGGAACATCATAATAAATACAAAGATTAAGAAAAACTTGAAGCAGTCTTCCTACATTAGGTAATAAAAATCTTACAAAATAATCAGTCTATCAAACTTTCCTTCACTCCACCTAAAACATGCAGAATAATAAAGTCTGTACAGGTTTTTCTTACAAATGTTTATTTTGATTTAGATTCTCAGAGTGAGAACAACTTACTCTAAGAGATAAGCAGCTCCCTCAAATGAGTTTGTTTTTTTTTTAAGGTCTTGATTAAAAATATTTCAGTTACAGAAAATGCGTAAAAAATTTAATGATGAAAAGACAAGAAAAACATAGCTTTTGAAGAATCACTGTTTAGTATAATTTATTAGGGAAAGGAACACTGAGGTAACTGCAATCTTCCTATTTATCAATCTCACAGATACGCACAATTTTGTGATCTCTTAAAGGGTCACCATTATGTAGTTTGTTTTTTCATAAACAAAAGCTTTAGTGTCAATAGTGCAGGTAGTGCTTATAAGTGTGTCGCCTGTCATACCTCCTAAAGCAATAAGTTGTTAAATTGTGCAAATGTGAACATAACAGGCTTAATCAAAATGATAAAAAACAGAATGAAGTTTGGCAATCAGGATTGTTTTAATTATATTAAAAGGAGAATGACTGGTAAGAACATGGATTAAAAATGTATCAGGAAGTTATAAATGTTTGCAGTGGATTCAACTTCTTTCTACAAGGAAAGTCATAAACAATTTGAAAGAAACACTGGAAGAAATGCACAAAAAATAGCAATGCAGTTAAATGTCTTAAGACATCTGTACAGCCTTAGACAGTCGTATAGACTATGAAACACAGAATACTATACTACACTGTGATGTGTCAATCCAGGTGAAGTTCAATAAATAGATTTAGAGTTCATCCCTCATTCATCTACACAATATTAAGCTGACTTTTGTATAACATTCTCTATTCCTTTTCCTGTGTCATTTCAAAAGATGGTCAGAGCTGGAGAATTTCACGAACAAAGAGCCCTCTCCGCACAGTTCTTTTGCTTGGCCTACCACTTGACTCTGAAATAGTGAATAAGATGGGCAGCATTTCAGGTTTTCCTCACAGGCTTTTCATGTAACCCTTTGATTGTATCTTTTCCATAGGTACACCAGAACTACCTCTTCTGCCGCTGCTTCTGAGAGCAGGCCTTCCTTCTGAGCACAGGTCACATGGAAATAAGCTCTGCACATCCCAGCATCACAACTGATGCATACTCCAGTCCTGGCAAAACGAGGATCTTCACAAAAACTGCATTCCTGAATAAGAAAGGGTAGAAAAATGTCACAGTAAGTACTGTAGGTGCATTTTGCTTAATATTTCCTTGTTTACTTCTTACGTAGAGATATTAAACAGGTGCTGGAGTTAACTCATAACAATACAGGAACCAGGTGTGTTGCTAACATATGACAATATTTAAAGCTTCACCAATACCAAACCCCAACAACTGACCTCATTTTCAAGAAGCAATGGAAAAATGCTTTAACAATCTTAAGAACATATAGGATGAACTTATATCCTCTGGATGACTGAAAGCCATAGATAACTACATAGCTTTCTTTTGATAAGCTATGAATCAGGAGCCAGTGCGTGACAATGGATGAAAAAGTAACACAGAAATGTAAATATCAATAAATAAGTTTACAATTCACTTAAGCACAGTATTAAGGCTTTGGCTACATGCATTCTAAGCATAGCTGTTTTCAACACAGCAAACTGTTATTCACTAATGTGGCCTGGAAAAAATATAAACTTAGCCAGATTAGTTCCTTGGTCTGAGTCACCACAAATTCATACTGAACAGCTGTTCCAGCAAACTAAAGCAATGAGTGTCTAAGCAGGAATAAGCAAATGGGAGCAATGCTGCTATCCAGTGCGTAAAGATGACCTAAAATTACACAGCCATGTATTAATCTCTCACACGCTGAGTATGAAGCAAAGCTGTGTATCACCTACAGAAATTATCTCCATGCAGATAGTTAAAGAACAACAGAGAGGAACTGCAAATGAAATTCAGTGACAGAACATTCTCAAGACACTACACACACTTCCTTAAAAGGCACTATGCTGTAAAATAACACATAACAGAAAAGAAACTAATCGAATCATAGATTATTATTTTAAACCGATACTCCAGGGGGAAATTCAGCTAAGCAAGCTGTAACTTCCACACTTGATTTGGCAAACAAGGAGAGTTTACAGCTCTGTGAGAGTAATGAATCCTCATAAGCACAGTTCACTCATCTTACTCAGAGTAAACCTTGCACCTATAATGCCAATACAAAGAACAAGTATGATTCATTGCAACAATAAGGCTGTAAGACTTTGTAAGGAAAAAAAAAACCAGGGGGGGGGAGCAAACAAGCTAGCAAACTTTTCTAAGCAATGCTAAATACCCCAGTGGACTCATGTTGACTGTGCTCCTCACACAAAGAAGTACCATGCAGGCCGAAGTGCTTTAATTTATCTTTTAAAGTTTCTGTATTTTTAAACAGTTATTACATATTCTAATTTAGTATTCAGCTTGACAAACTGACACCCTAGGAAATTTACAATGCATTAATTAAGCATTAGAGAAGCAGTAGCACAGCTATCTTTCCTTACATTAGCCCAGCAGTTATAGATTCTCTGCAATGTTTCCAGGGTTATAGCAACAATATCAAGCAAATTAGTGTTGGTCTTTGCCATTTACAATGACTTTCTGTATGTTTTGTGTATGACCACCTTCGACCACAACTGAGCATATTTATATGTAAAAAAACATTTTAATATTACAGACAATTTTCCATTCAGGTTTAGAGTCCCATACTCTTATGTTGTTTTCATGCTGGTGGTGCAAGGAGGTTAATATTGCTTTCTAGCAACCCTATGCATTCTAGTTTATGATTACAAAGAACTTAAAGTAGTTCTTACTGAATATACATCTGTATCTTTCTTAATCCTCAAATCCTCCACCTCAATTTCCTTTCCTTCATTTCACATCCCATAAATCCTCTTCTCTCTCCATTCACATTTTGGCAATCTGCCACTAACTGACTTTAAAAGAAGGTAACTGACACCTGTGTTAAAAAAAAAAATAAGGGAAACTGAGAGACAAAGAGCAATAGAAATTACAGAGAACAACAATAAGGGAAAAAAAACAGCTGTAAGAAAAAAAGGAGGGATGAGCAAAATTACAGGAAACATGAATTTTATCACATTTTCCTTTCTAAATCTCACTGCTACAAACATAAAATAAGATTGAAGACACATTATTTCTATGTAAAAATATGAAATAAAGCTACTGGGAAGGAATATGAATCTTCTTAACTTACCTTGGCACCATACTTTGAATAATTCATTTCTGTAAGCGTTACTGGCCGCAATTTGTCAATATCTCCAAATGCCACTCCTGGAACGTAGAGGGCACAAACAATATGGACCCACCTAAAACAGCAAATAAATTTAGGTTACTGTTATCAGTATTTTGTTCCCATATTACGCTCACCATTTGCAGATTTTTAAGTACTGTGTAAATGATACAGATGCTAGAAAAAGATGATCTAAGTGAAAACACATTAGAAGCAGGGAGGGAATGTGCATTTGGAATTTAAAAGCTAAAAACAAATAGCAGCAAGTTTTTGGTACAACTGTGATTGCTTTGCTTGTCTGGATCAGCAAGATTACCCTCACATTCTGTTCTGATGATTCTTAAGTAACGTTTCACATCACTGTTTATGCTGCAGGAAAAGTATATTAAGATTTTGACATTACCTACAAAGCCTAGACAGACCAATAGGGTGAGATGGTGGAAGTGAAGACTGGAGGTACAAATTCATACAGGTAGTAAGAGAAAAATTCCTGTAACATTAACAACTACCTACAAGTCATTAACTCACTTCATTCTAAGGAATGCTTAGTAAATCTAATCAAAGCCCTAGCACCAATCAGTTCATTCTGTTGTATTCCACAAGGCTCAGAAAAACATCACAGAATCACAGAATGGCCAGGGTTGGAAGGGACCTCAAGGATCATGAATCGCCAACCCCCCTGCCACATGCAGGGCCACCAACCTCCCCATTTAATACTAGACCAGGCTGCCCAGGGCCCCATCCAGTCTGGCCTTAAACATCTTCAGGGACAGGGTATCCACAGCCTCTCTGAGCAGCCTGTTCCAGCACCTCACCACATCTTCATGAACACACAACCTATTCTTTTCACAAAGAAATCAAGATACTACTTTTTAATTTTGCCCTCCAAAAATGCCACATGCAAAATAAGATCTGTACCCTTGAAATACAGAGATCACTCAGATGTTAATAAAAGTCTTGTAAATTCTGTGAGGCTTCTTTTCTACATACCACCATTGATTTAAGATGCTTTAAATTAATTTGCATAAAAGGAAGTTACACATACTCACAATTACTATTCTTAAAAAAAAAAAAACCAAACACACAAGGCTCTGGTTGAAGATTTTGATAGTAAGCTGAGGATACTGGTTGCCTTAAAACTTACCCTCCAAAGTTCAGTATAAAGATACACTTTTCTACAAGCATCTGCTTCTCAATTTAACTTGCAGTTTTTTTATGCTCCAGTAGTGTATTAAATGCTGCTGCACTCAGTAGGAGTTTATCTATGGTAAATCCAATAGCTGGCTACTTACTTCATATTGACCTTCTCAAAATGTTTTAGTACACGTCACCCAAGTATTACAGTATTACAGATGTAAACTGCCATTTTGGTGTGATTGGCACACAAGTACCTTATTCCTTTAGTCCCCTTTACGAGAACTCAGACCTGAATCTTTACTAAAAAACAAAGAAATCAGTCAAGTTCTCAGCTGAAGCAATTTCAGCTGCTTTTAATACCAGTTCTAAATATTTTCCTGCTCATTTGTTTAGCTGCACATGTTTTAGAAGATTGTAATTAAGACAAATTGGGTAATCAAAGAAGAATAATCTTCCTTGTTACTTTACCATCCATTTTGCTTGGAGCAATGATGACAGATGTTGATTAGGGAAGAAGAAAAACTCTACACCATAACAAGAACAGAATTCATATTCTTGGTTAATAGCATTTTGAGAAATAAAATTTCATAAATTCACATTTATGTTCATGAAACTGAGAGGTTAATGTGAAAAGGCTTCTGTGAGAAACTAAGCACCTAATTATTCTAATGATTCATATAGGAACAAAAAAATAATTCTAACTTGATTATGAAAGGAAACTGAATAGGTTTGGCTGCGCTTTACTGCAATTTCCAGCCAATGATGCATATAAAGAAACATAGCAATGGATATAGCATACATCCTTAGCTTGCATTGTCCCATTTCCTAAAGATTTCAAATTTATTAATAAGCAATAGAAAAAAAGAGAGAACAGTATTATTTACATTGGCTAGCATTGTTTTTTTTTCTAGTACATGAACCTACCCACCTGTAAGTAAACCTCTACTTACTCATGACAACGTATCATGTTATCCAAACACAAAAATACAATAGCAGGGATAATGAACTGACACTTTACTGTCCACAGTCAACCAAGCAGGCATGTGCTTTTGCACAAAGTATCAGAATCACAGATAAAACATTTCTATGTCAATCAAAAACATGCTGCCATTTTATAAGAAATTTCAAGCAATAATATTTAGAAATGTTGTGCAATTTATATTACAATTATATGAGAAATAACTAGATAGCAATTAAACTACCTTAAAAAATGCAGGAGAAAAAAAAAACCTGAAACATATATTTCCAAGTGATATTAATTCTGGTACTACCAAGTTGTTAGACAACTGATTTCAGTCTCTAGTAACATTTTGACCACGCTGTAACATTATGAAAGTAAAAAAAATTGTTTAAACTATTGTAACAGTTACACTAGAGCAGCTCCAAAAGTAACACCTCCTATGTTGGCCCACAATATCAGAAGTGGATATTGGCAGTAGGGCAGTAGAACCGAACCCTTAGGTGAACACATTGTCACATTTTATCTTGAGCAACAGATGGCGGTAGAGGGGCAGTCCGACACGCCTTAGAGGCTAAGGTGCATTACTGAATTTCTCTGTGCAGAAGAAATGGCACCCATTATGCATCAATGCCTGCCTAACGTTTGTGGAGACCAACTAGTGGATACTAGCACAGTGAAGCAGTGGGTGGTGTTTCAGCTATGGCAACCGTGGGCCACCTCCACTGGTACATAATTTTACAAGTACAGCATGCAGGCTGGTCTCCGTTGCTGGATGAAATGCATAGCTAAAGGTGGTGACTTTACTAAAAAAAAAAAAAAAAAAATACTGTTTTGTAGCTGAGAATTTTCTCTGTCAAGCAGTGTTACTGTGTTCTCTGTATCTGTCGTTATTTCCATGAAAATCAATAGGAGACATTACTTCTGGAGCAACCTATGTATAATAAAGATGGACTAATCAGAAATTGAGGACTGGAATCCCAAAAATTCTTTAAAACAAGCACAACTTCAAATACACTGTCAAGATTATTCACTGCAAATCTTGACTCATTTATAGAAATTCCCCCCACTAACAGTACATTATTTTATTGTATTTTCAGCGCTCCCCCTCATAAGACGCATGTAGAAGACACGGGTTGAGGAAAAGATTTAACAAGTGTATCTGTAAGACATCTCAGCTACAATTGAGAAGCTGAAGTTCATTGCAGGAAGGTAGTTGCCCTCCAAAGATGATGTCAAACAAAGCTTTCCAAAATACCATCCAGAGCTCTGCTGATCTTTTAATGAGGAAAGGATTTGTCCATTACAGTCCCAGCAATAGTACAAGTTTGTGTAAGACATGAATGGGAAAAAAAATGTTTTGGCTTACATTACAAGACAGTTAAAGTCATCTAAACATGAGTCCTTGTGTTTAAGTACAAAAAACAGTAAACTGTGAAGGCCATTACAACCCAGTAGATGGAGAAAGACCAAGGATATGGTTATACTTCGCTATTTGCTACTACCAAATATGTTGTACCATAACATATAGCTTCACGTAAAAGGTAATGTATCTATTGGTTCACACTGAATAACATGAAAGGGCTGAATTTTAAAACATTTGTACTAATACCGGAATAACTGAATTCCTTCCAATTCAACCACAATCGTCAGTAAGATGTCTGCAGACTTCTGCAATCCTACATATCAAGCCTGAAAGTTTCATATGTCGCTGCAAACCTGCAATTTACATAATTGTAAAATGTATGGAAAAATAACTTAATTGCTGCGATCTAAATAATAATATATTCATCAACATTAGCCAAAAAACAGACATAATTGATAACTCTGCTCTTCTCTTTACTGCAGAAAATAAGTTTCCATTAATACCCATGTATTAATTTATTTTTTAAATAGAAAGAAATGGAAGATATTGCATGAGAAAGATCTACTATATCCAGTAAGACATCTCTACACATACAATACATGGTGATTTCATGTTGGGTAATAAGTATTACCACTTCCTGAAGTGGTGTTACATTGCTTTACTTAGAAACATCTGTTGCTCATACATCAATAAACCATCATGCTCAAATTCAGTTTAAGAAAACATTCTTCACACTAGTTGGGAAGATATTAGGTGTGCAAATAAAAAAAAAAAAAAAATTGGGTGACTGCCTATCCAGTGAGCACCCCACTCTAAAATGAACTGAGAAAAAGAATACTAACAGCTTAATTTATGACTCTTTTGCCTATAGGAATAGACTAGAGCAAAATCCCACCTTTGAATTTAAGCTGATATCAATTTAAAATGGCACTTCTTCAGCCTTACCTGCCTGCATCTGTCTCCTTGAAGATCCCATCTTGGTTAGGACATAGTTCACAACTAGGTGTGACACCACATTTGCATGCATCACAGAACCAGGGTTCAGTGGAATTTTCTGAAGCTGAGCTCATGATAGAATCACTCTCTCCATCAACACCATAGCAACCTTCACACATAAAAAAAACGGAAGAAAATATAAGGAAAGACAAGTAGGCATACAGTTCTTAGTTTATAATTTTCAGCAGGAAATACACACACACACACACACACACACACACACACACACAGTTTCATGACAATGAAAATCCCAAGAAAGCATCCAATATTTTTGCAAAAGTAACTTCAGTGCAAAACTTCTATTTTCACAGAGGCTCTAGTTCTAAAATGTGATATAATATATAGGAATGTCTTAGATTGCAATCAAAAAATGAAAGGAAAAGGTTTACTTTACTCTGTTCTTTCAGCCTATTCATTATGAAGTAAAAAACTAAGACTTAAATGAACCCACAAACACTGAGCAAGAAACAAAGCACTTTTTTCAATTAAATGCATACATTTCAGATTAAATATAACATCTGATGAAAAATTTAAGAAATTTTATAAAATACTGAAATACGTTATTTCTTAGTGTCTTTAGACAATTCTCAGTCTATTTATTATCCTGTTAGATCTTTTACATATCTTTCCTCCACTGTGGCAATTCTAGAGCTTCTGCTTATCTACACGTCTTCTTGCGCAGCCTGGAAACTTTACTTTCAGTTGAATTAACAGTCTTACCAAACTATAACATGGTTTCTAAAATTCTCCAGTACTAGCAGCATGTCATGAATCCATGTGTATCATTGAGTTAAAGGTTTGAGAGCATGTCCAAGGTTCAAGACATTCCTATCTTTCTCCCTCTCATTACCCTGTTGTCTTTTTTTTTTAAACGAGTTGATCATGCCAGCAGTATGCAGACAACAAATATCCATTCCACTTTTCTGCTTCACATTCAATATCTAATTCAGCAAGAGAACATACACATTAAGAAAAACCAAACGTATTCTTAAAACCCCTGAAGCATAAATCTAAGACCTTTTGTAATTTTAAAATCAAAGTATTGTTTGACAAGCACAGATTGAGTTTTGACAGACCGTTTTACTTAAAAATGTTTTTAATATATTCATCAATCATCATCACCACTTTTAGCTGGTTTTAAATTATGATCAAATTCATTGTGTCTCAATTCTTTTTTTGGTATAGTCAGTGTAGTCAGTGTGTTTTTATGTTTTTAAGGTGTTACTGCATGCTTAATCACCATAAGATCAGGAAAATTTCCCTTCAAAGCGATTTAGAAGCTTGTTACTTCAATTTTGGACGAATATGGACAAGAGTAAGAGTGCTATTACTACTACTGTAAATGACAAAGAAAACTCAAAGCTTATCACCAGAAAACTATACTTCTGCATATGCCACACTGAATATTTATCTGCTGCTCAGTGAGAAAAAAAAAAAAAAAAAGAATTGCACTGTCAACATCAAAGCAGAGACCTTACTGAAAGATTAAATTCAGTTGTTTGCCAGATAAGAATGATCAAGTAGCAATTTTGCTTGCAGAGCAATTAAATCCTTTAATTTTTATAATTAAATAGAAATGTAATTTATTAGTTTGGTTCTCTACTGACTGTAGTAAAACAGCTACAGTGCTCTAACCCTCTTTATCACAGCAACTGAGATAATAATGTAAAACTGTATTCAGAAAGTAATCAGAAACACTATAGGTACCATTTAAGAAATGCAGTCCTCCATTACAGCATGGGGTTCATCAATAAATACTTAACTAAGACAAAAGTACGTTCTGGTTTTTTTGTTTGTTTTTTTAATAAGAAGTATTCCAGAATCAAGAGATAAATAATGCTCAGAAGTGCATCCACAGGCAAGTTGCATTAGGTATACAAAATACCAACTAGCTCACTTGTAAACTGATTCAAATTTCTTTAGCATCGCAGTAGCTTTAAAGAGCATTGTAGATAGCCTTTTTTTTTTTTTTTTTTAAGTTGTAATGCCACAGTGTTGAATAACTGCCAGCAAAGCACCTTTTAAACAATTACATTAACGTACAAACACAAAGCCCACTGATATCATATAGCCGATGAAAAATTTAGACTTTGAGAACAGTCCGTAGACTTTGAAAAAAAAAAACAAAAAACATTTCCCTAAATAAATTTATTAAAAATTACATAACACTACAGGAGGAGAAATACTGTCATCAATCAATACAGCAAAATAAGATTAGTTTCTTCCAAACAGTGACTCTTCTGCAATCAAGTGTAACTACATTTGCTTTTCTAAACAAAGCACCAGCCTACTAAAATTACAATGGTGTCGTATCTTCACTCTGAAGGATTTGCCAGTTGCACTTATCACTCAATTCTAGCTAATATTTTGTTCCTTTTTCCTAGAAAACTTCAACATGCATTAGCTGTAATTATTTCCACCCTTATCATGTATGTTGACATCAAAATTGTTTTTTCTGTAACACCACAAATCTAGGTCATTTTCTCATGAGGATTTATAACTCAAGTATTTTTTCCTAATTCATACAACTGTCTTAGTGACAGCTTTAAAGACTTCCAGATCTATAACAGACACAAGGAGGCATTTAGTCTTTTCCCTGTCATTCAGCAAAACCTAAATATACTGTTACAAGCAGCAAAAGTGATGGTCATTAGCCAGAGAAAATACACTGGATTTCCAGTAAGGGCTGACATCCTTGTTTCAGCTGGGACAGAGTTAATTTTCTCCCCAGTAGCTGGTATAGTGCTGTATTTTGGATTGAAGATCAGAATAACATTGATATTATAACAATGTTTTTATTATTAGAGAGCAGTGCTTACACATAGCCAAGGACTTTTTACTTACTCATGTTGTCGTACCAGGAAGAAAATGGGGCTGCACAAGGAGATGGGAGGGGCCAGACCTAGTATTGCTGATCCAGACTGACCAAAGTGATGCCCTATACCATATAATATCATGCTCAGCAATAAAGCTGGAGGAAGGGATGGCCAGGGTGGGTACTGCTGCTGCTTGGGGGCTGGCTGGGCATCATCAGTTGGTGGCAAGGAATTGCCCTGTGCATCACTGTTTTCTATATTCTTTTATCAGTATTATTTTCCCTACCTTATCTATCCTACTAAATCACCTTTATCACAACCCACATGTTTTAACTTTCTATTAATTTTCTAATTCAATCATTCCTTCAGGAAAGAGAGGTGGAGTGAGCAAACAGCTGTGCAGTCCTAAGCTGCCTGATCTTGTCTAGAAGAGCTGAAGGAAAGGAAATCCAGCAAGAATGCTACTGGCTTCTAAATAAAGTAAATACCACACAAAACAGTAATGATATTATTTGACATCAAGATGACAAATGTACAGGAAGAGCTGTAACAATTTTTTTTCTTTTTTAAACAAGAAACAACAAATCCCCTCAGTTTTACTTCAGTTGACATAAGAAAACAAAAGCACAAAACCCTACTGTAGAAATGTATGGACTGGGCTAAAAATCTCAATTTCAGCTTAAGTAAAAGCCAAACAGCTGCAAACTCTGTCATAGGTAAAGAAAGCTGCTGAGTAGCAACAACATTTAGAAAAAAACATTTCTCAAAGTTTCTCAATATTGAGTTCATATTTTCCTCTTGCTATCATTAGTTGTAATAGTAACTGTGAACTGAAAGCCTAAATTGATCGGATTAATATTACTTTTTCAAAACAGTTAATGAAATGTTATATGCACACAAACTGTGTACTATTTATCAAGTACATACAAACAAGTAAATATACTAAGCAGGATTCATCAATTAACACTGATGAAAAAGATGGATTTGCAGTCCTAAACTAAGCCACACTTTTAATGACTGTCAATTAATTTCAAATAATAGTTTAACAACCATCCTAAAAGACATACATCATTTTTTAAGTTGAAAAAATAAAAAGTGTTCTCTACTGCAGAGCTACAACACAGTTTGTATATTAAAATCAGACAGTACAGAAAGCATTTGATTACAAAAAAATGTCCTTTTAAAAGATTCTCAGTGCTACTTTTATGTCTTTTTAAAATGCATAGGCACACAGACATGAAACTGAAGCTGCTGGACAAGTCTTTCCAAACTTTTTCTTGAACATTTACTATGATAAGCATGACAAAGCTGTTCTAGCTGACCCTCCTGTACTAACTGTTGGGAACTGTGGTTTTTGAAACAGAAAGCAATGTAACAGCTCACTACCACTCTATCTCAAAAGCAACATTAGGAGGTAATCTTCCAGGTTCTTTCTCAATGCAGCACAGTTGTTTAGGTGGTGTAACTAGCTTGGGATTGAAAGGCTAACAAGAAAAAGATAATTCTTGTAATGAAAACTATAGGTTTCATTGGAGTTACTGCATCTGGAATCTAGTCAGCATTAAGTGCACCATCTACCCCTTTCACCTGAAACTATACTATAAAACCCCCAACATTTTAAACAACTGAAAATGCATACTGTTTTTCCTTACCGTTCATAGAATTTTGGTTCTTTGGACTACGAGAGCCTCTTCTCAACCAGCGCTCATGAAGTGCCCATGTTTAATATAAGTAATCCTTATTATTCTGTCACTCTATGTCTGCCATTTCCTTGAAAGCTTCTTGCACTAAACAATAAAGCTATATGATAGCAAAGCCCATGAATTTAAATATATGAAATAGTCAAGAGGTTGAAATTCTCCTAGCATTTACTCTTCCACAACCTGAATCTACGTATTATGACTGCAGTTGTCTACTGAACATAATTTCATACAGAAAACTGAATTTCCTGAATTTAAGTCTACCACATACTGCCATTAGCTTGTTTTTATGCATTATCATTAAAATGAAATTACAAACACTTTAAGATGCTAGCATTAAAGCAAGTGTCCTGAAACATACGTCACTGAGGGAAAAGGGAAGAGAGAACCTTCTCTCCAAGGATAATCTTTTGCCAAACTGAATGTCTGCATATGCTAACAACAGTCACGTATACTTCAAATCCTGATCTAATTATAAAGTTCATGAAAGCATGAACTTACGTGAACTGTAGGTTTTCAAAAAGAAATGCTGTGAGATAACGATATTACATTCAGTCCTTAACTGGATCAGAAGTTTAAAATAAAGACATTAACCATGCACAATAAGAATATTTTTATTTAGACAAGGGAAAGTACTAGAGTACATAACAAGACAAAAATGAATGTTTACATCAGACGTAAGCAAACCAAGATAAGCATCAAAATTAAAGCACATGTAGACTACACTACTGCTTCTAGCAAGTTAAGCTTTATTTCCCACGATACCCAGCATGCAAAAGTTAAAAAACAAAAAAAAAACAAAAAAAAAAAAAAAAAAAAAAAAAAACACAGAGGGGATGGAAAAGTAACAGCTAGAAAAAAGTGGAACTTCTCTTTCTTGTTTATTTCCCAGCAAATAACACAAGGGCAATAGCTGGCAAGCATACTATCTACAGTTAGATCATATCTTATGATATGCATCAGACATTCTCTTCAGACACACTGCAATCAATATGTCACGACAACTGACATCACAGTTGGGGGTGTCCTGCTACTACAAGATCTTACCACAAAAGCATTTATCCAAAGTGACAGATTACTGCCTGAAGATGATTTTTTTTTTTTTTTTTGGAAAAATAAATGAGAATTATTTGCATGCTGAAATAAATACACAAGCTACTGTACAACAAATTCAAAAGATTTTTTTTCTAGCAATATAAGCTGCTATTTTTCCCCTTAAGAAAAAAGGATTAATATGTGAATTGAGAACAGATGTAGTTGATGAATGTGATAATTTACAGACTGAACTTAAAATTTTTTTAGACATAAAAATGTCAACTATAGGACTGGGTATTAGTATATACATGTATGCTGCTTGTGTAGGTTATGGAGTAGTTACAGACTCCTGACTAGAAAAAAAATGCCATTTGGTCTTCAAACGTGACTGAGTTTTTACAAGCTGTCTGCACCAGAAAGGCAGTTTTAGGATGAGTCACACAGGCCACATATATGATACGAACACCACATAAAGAGTTGCCCTAAAAGGAAATAAATTTCTAACAATCTCAATGTCTGTTCAGTAAGCCAAACAAAGAGTTCATTAGCCACCCACAATTTTATGTCCAAACTAGAATCTCCCTATACATCTTGTAGACCAAATAATAACATTTGTCCAGAGCTCTGACAAAGTTACTCCCAGATGAGTTACCACTCTTCCTTCCTATGGAAGACATTATGCAATTAATGCAAGAGAGCAAATCAAAAGGAATGCAAATCATTACTGATCAGGCAAATACTAAATCTAGTGGTTAAGGTACTTGTACCAATTACTCAGGTGCACAGAGTATGCACAGAGGGAAGCTAGCTGTGCTAGAAAAGCCAAACTACACGGAACAAGAGTGAAGGGAGGTTTGGACTGTGACAGGAATTTAGGAGTTACAGTACATCTCAACACTGAGCAGTAGGTATCTAGAAACGAGGATGGAATTCCACCTGCCATTTCCTAATTGGTATTAAACAAGGAATTGAACCACAGATGAGTACATGAAAAATACTGCTTTGAAACCATTTTTAAATGTGTGAAAACAAAAGTAGAATAGCAGATAAGGAAAAGCATTTCCTACATGAAAAGTCATGCACCAGTGAACAACTCCAACAAATTTTAAAAGGGCATAAATTACACAGATTATATAAATATCATTCATGCCTTTGAAGAATAACAGACTACCTTCTTTTAACTTCAAGGATTAAAAGTAGCCTATCTTATTTAAAAGGAGAATAGTACAGGATGGCAGAAATAATAAAAAGTTTTCATTAAAAAGAAAACTTAAGTTGTCAAGAATACAGAATTTAAATTTCAACAAAAATATGTATGCCTATCTATATTTTTATCTACTTTATCTTCCATCCTCAAGAGAAAGAGCAAAAACAATCAGTCTCATCTTTCCCATAAGGACCATTAAAGTTCCACATGCTCATCTCATGATCACCCAGGAAGCGCTCCTTTAAAAAAACATCAGTGAAAACTTGACTACAGAAACCTATTCTTCTCATCTCTTGAGATCATCTTTTAACTTACCAGTATATCGACAAATCACAGAATTGCAACCAAGTTAATACTTCAGAACAGTATTCACAGCAAATATCAGATCATTTCTCTTAAACCCTCCCCCATACACTGTAGGAAAGACCTCCTACACTGAGTATAAACATCTACCAAATGCCAAAGCAATTAGCAAATCAACAATTTAAGTATATTTTAACTTTGAAATTGCCATTAAAAATTAGAGGCCAAGGCTAGCTGTCACATTCAATTCTTTTCTCATCTCTCTGCCTCTTTAATACAGCAAAAATACATGCAAAAGTCCCTTTCCCCTATGAATTCTCCTATTCTCACTATCTTCTACCCAATCAAGCAATCAAGTTTGCATACTGAAATAGACAATTTCATCTGATATTAAATCCTAAAGTCTCGAAAATACAATCTACAGTCAGAAGCATTAGCAAAATGTCATCAATTTCACAGATATACGTAGACCATGACCTATCCTGTACTTGCTTATATTAGCTTTCCTAAAATAGATGAATGCAATACTACAAAGAATCCATGTGGCACTACAAAAAATTACTCACCAGAGTTCAAAGGCTTAATTTTTTTTGAAGCAAGTAAAAGTTTTAATAGAAGTAAAGCTTATGCTTTCTTCATGCATTAACAATGAAGGAACTGTATTACCTTCATGCACTGTTATTCCACAGTTGTCACATTGGATTATTTCATCAGCATCTTCACTGTTATCTCCAAGACAAACGCAACAAATCAAAATATGGTCCATTTTCTGGGAACTCCAATTTTGGGACTTCTCAAGGATCAAGGAGTCCTAATATCAAAAAATGAATGCACAAGAATTACAACAGGAACTTCAATTTTATGTAAAACAGAAGATCTGTTATTTGTTCAATTTTGTGGAAAAAAGAACAACAAAAAGCCTCATGCACTTCTTGTGAAAACATTCAAACTCTTCATCCACAAAATTAAAGGATGGAATGAATACAATCTGATCTTACTAGGTTTGTAGTTCTGGTTGTACTGAAATCATATATCTGACACTAACAAGGAACACAACAGAAAGCCATCTAAAAAGGAAAAGAGGACCACCAAAAAAAAAAAAAAAAGAGGTGACCTTCAATATCCTAATATTTAGAAAGGAAGATTCCCTTTCTTGGAAAAAAAAACAACAAAAACAGACAAAAAACCAACAACCTTCCTGTATTGTTGTATTAAAACTTGAAAAAAAAAGAGCTAACAAAAGCCTGATGAGTCTTCACATAAATGAAGTGTAATAACTTACTGACTCAGTTGTTTTATTTTGTTACATGCAAATGTATATGGCTCTATGCAAAACTGTGTGATATATTAAAACAATTCATTTTCTTTTATAGGATATGCAAGGAAGTCCAATGCTCATTTTTGCAACCTTCAATGTGTATTACACTACTCAGAGAATTCCCTTTTAAAAAGGAGTTTCTTTAAGGAAACAAAGCAGTACCTCACAAACCAAATAAAGTTGGATGTGAATTTCCATTGTTTCCATAAACACCATGACCTCAGCTTCTTATTATTTCAGTGAGGTATACTGACTGTCTCTTACACAAAAGTTTCATAACTTATATAAATTCTCTTCTTTCCTATACTAAAAGCAAACAGAGTTTGGACTATCTTCGCTGGTGATATGAAGGCTTACAGGGACTAGACACACAGCTGAAAGAAAAAAAGTAGGAAAAAGAAGAAATTAAGACTTTCAGAGCAGAGGCTGATAGTTCAGGGCTAAATGGCATCCATTCAACACACTAAAGGCCTGAGAATATTACAAGAGTGCTGCAGTGTATTAAATAGGTGAAAAAAAATTAAGGTGGAAAGTTGCCTTTCAAACTTTTTTTTTCCTCTTTCCACTCCATTCCCCTCATTAATGAATAATAATAAAAAAAAAAACCACACAGTACCAATACAGCGCTTCCATATCCAAAGCAGATAAAAATTATTATGAATGGTAAGTGAAACAGATATTCCTTCTCAAAGATCCTAAATTCTTTCACCGGTCTATGCAATTATTATTCTATGGTAGTCTGTCAATCTGATACAGTCTCTGCTCTGCTCAAAGTTTTCAGTGAATCGCTGATAAAGCCTTTTTGTACTTCAGGTTTATCCAGAGCAGGTATTTGGAGGGTGGCAGGGATACCTTTGTTTTTTCTAGCCAATTTCAACTGGCTTATTCCAAATAGAAGTGGCTTGTTAGAAAGCTGTAGAAAATTGCAAAGATACTTCTAGTTTTGGAATCTCCTATCTATATTCTCTGAAGAAAAGAAAGATGGCCTACAAAATACAAACTAAAAAATTCCACCTCATCAAGTGGTAAAATAAAAAATAAAAAAAAAATGAAAGACAACATAATTGTTCATAAGATCATGCTCTTCCCCTAATAAATACAGGCTGACTAAGCATTTCTTCCATCTTCCTTTTAAGAGGAAACTCTGAAGTACTTTGAGTCAAGCAAGAAATTTGCACGTATTTGTCAAAAATATTGTGTCACACCATCACACATAATATACGCAGTTCAAATAGGAGATACTCCCTAACTTTGGCAGATTAACGTTTCAGTACCACCAGCTTGTTGGAAGCATCTCACATGCCTACAGAAACCAGTTTCTTCTGACTATACTTTCAACTTAAATTATTACTTGGCTTCATTAACATAAACTTAAAATTAATTTGCAATCTCTGCTGCCACGGAAGTCCAAAGTCTAGTAACTAAAAAAAAAAAAAAAAAATACAGTAAATGCACAGATCTGCACTGTAAAAAAAAAAAAAAACACATACGCAAACATGAGCAAGACAAAAAGGTGATGGAAGGTCGGATCTAGAGTTAGGATTCACAGCTATCTTGATCTGCATTATGTGAAGAAAGCCAACAGGTCAAATGCAGACAAGAATAACATTGTTTTTCATGCAGACGGACACGGACTTGGAGAAAAAGGCAGGAACTTCTCAAACAACTCCTGTTCCCTATCCAAGTGAGAATAAGGACTTCATTCAAGCTATATGCCTACCTATTTATAAACTTAATGAGATCTTAAAAAACAGTAATTATCACAATCACCTCACTAGGAATAAGAGAATCCCATGAAGTGGTAGCAATTTATAAAAAACATGAAAGTATCATTTCTCTAATGATGCTTGACCTTGCAAAAGAAAGCTATGTTTGTCTGCCTCTGCTCAATACAGTACAAAAGCACATAGCATTTCACTACAGCACAGGTTAGAAGACTCTCTATCCACGCCTCAAAATATTTTAAGTGCAGAAAAATAAAATAAAAACTGCACACCAATAAAAAAAGGAACTGGGCCACAAAGAATTTAAGAATGCATACTAAGGCCTAGAATATATACAATGTATACTACAATATTCAGAGTTAACTACCTGAACAATCTCCCATGCAGTAATTATGCCTTAAGACATCTGTTTTTCTAAGAACTTAGCTTCTGCAACGTAATGAGATTTTGCAATGCAGCTTTTTTTTTTTCCCCACAGTACTGGCTGTTAAAAATAGAGTTGAATATTAATCTAAAAATGAGTTCTAGAATCCAGTGTATAGACACTGTTGAAAGACTCTTAGCTAAAAGATCTGTTCACAAACAGCATTCAGCTTCACAGTTACAGAATTCTAACGCGAACTGCAAAATGTCAAATTCTGATTTTTATCTTTTGATTGATGTCTTAAATTCAAGGAGGAATATATGCATATTAAGAAGGTTCCCAAAAGATGCATTTTAAGAGTGCTCTGAGTCTCTGAAGTAGGCTTCTTTTTCCAAGTCAATGGAAGTTTAGGACATCTTGAAGAATATATCCCTAACAATCTAAGATTTCATTTCCATTCTGATATGGGAAACAACACTGGAAGGAAATAACCCATCTCCCAATGATGACCTGGTTCTCATCATTGATACTGGCAAAGCCCTTTCAGCTCCTGAGCAAAGACAGTACAGGTAACAACACAAGAATTGTGTTGTACAGAGCTTGATAATGAAAGATAAACAGTAGCCTGATCAGGATAGAAAGACCTTTATATCTGCCAAAGTGAAACCATTTCACAGGCTAGCTTAGATGTGTAATGAAAGTCTGCAGACTGTAAATGGCATACAAGTTTAAAAATAATAAGAACATTCTCTTATTGCTATTACTTATTACTACTCCAAGCAGCATCTAATATAGTAAACAACATTTCTAAGCATCACCATTTATTTATAAGTACATAGCTACAGAGAATTAAAAAAAAAAAAAACAAAAAACTAGAACTATGCATTTTTAAACAATTATTTGATTATCTCTTGTTATTAAAACTGCATATCTGGCTTGCAATTATACATACGTATATAAGTATGTACATCAAAATCTTGAACAGAGACCACTGATTCCTCCAATTATTTTGCTTAGTCTTCATTAAAATAAAGTCTAAATGAAGCAGCAATACTTTAAATTGTTATACCCTATAATTTAGCAAATGTTTCATTTACGCTGCAATTGTTTCCTGAAAATAGAATGTAGATTTTACAATAACTTTTTTTTTTTTTTTTAAACTCTGTTTACGATTTTGCTACTGGAGGAGAAGTCAGCCATCCTGACAACCTACTATCTTTTAATCCTTCCATGGACTCAACCTCTAAGGCAACTGTAACTGTATTGGAAAAGAAAGTTTCATTATTAGACACTTACCATAATATTGTCAGATTCCACAAATAGAAAATAGTTACTGTAATGATTAAGCGCACAAATGCTTCTTAGCACCGTAGGGAATTACTTCACTTGTATGCATTATATGTAAAACCAACATAAATTGTCATGATTGTCCTTAGATTTTAAACCCAACTGTGTATATTTACTTACTTAGAATTCTAGCATTCAGATTTTGATGCCTGTGACAAAGAAGGGCTGGGATACAGAATAACCTATTATTTAGCTATTATGAGAATGTGATGTTTCTAATTTTTATAACATTATAGATGTGCTACATCTAACCTACAACTAACCTAAATATTCTGCTCTTACATGCTGATTTGCAGACCAGAGCTTGTATTTGCTTCAGAATTAATTCAATTGCCCTTCCCATTAAAGCCAAGAGAAGTCTGTCTATTGACTTTAGTGGCAATGGATCGGCCAAATGGTCCAAGCAAGTTTATTTAATAAGCAGTGAGTGCTTATTTAGCCCAATTTTGCTGCTTTGTTTATTCCTCTAAACACAATGCCAGCCAATCAGTTTTAACTTTTCAAATTAACAGAACAGCACTGGAGAGTAGTTTCCATTTCTCAAGAGATATATTATAGAAAGTTGGTTGCACTACCTCATTACTCTTGCTTTGTGAAAGAGCCAGGCTATCATTTGTCAGTTCCTCATCATCTGCATTATTTCTGTTAAGAACTTTACTCTTCTTCTTCTTGGATCCTCCATCACTAGCTGTGCTGCTATTATCTTCTTCGTTACCTTCCTCATCATTGTCATCCTCATCACTTCCACTCCCATCATCTTCATCATCCTCATTATCTCCATCACTCCCTTCTTTTCGCAGTGCATTTTTCCCTTTTTTCTTCTCAGGAGTAGGCCGCCAGTCGTTGTCATCTTCACTATCATAATCATCCATATCATTTAGTTCTTCCATTGACACAAAATCCAGTAATGGCCGGTTCCTGCGCAAATTCCATTTTTTTGGTTCACTTGCTTGTTCATCAGCCACAGGATCAGTTTCAGCTGCTTTCTCTTTTTCTTTCTTCTTTTTCGGCTTCTCTTCTTCATCTTCTTGCTCTTTCTTTTCAGTCTTAATTATCTCTTTGTCTGCTGTTGGCACTTCTTCAGCAGAGCTCTTTGGCTGTTGCTCTTCTACTTTCTCTTCTGCTGGTTCCTCCTCCAAGATATTTTCTTCTGATTCAGTACAGGAACCTTCTCCACTGTCCTTTGATGCATCTTCACTTCCATGACCACTTCCTTCAGAATCTGTTGAGTATATGAAAATTTAAAAAGAAGTTCCAAAACAAATGTACCCCCAAAAATAAAGTCTGTTGAAGCAAGTTGTTAAACAAAAGAATGATGCACGTTCCTCCCTAATAAGGAAATCCACGTTTATTTTTTTTTTTTTCCAATTTGTCTCCAAATACTGCTATTTCAAGTGCTATGTTGAGAATCTGTTAAAACATCAGTGCATTTTTAAACGGCAAAAAAAAGATGGTAAAATTTATTAATGAACATTAAATGTTCATTTGAACTGCAGCTATTATTAATATTAACAATAAGTAAAGCGTCATTTTAATAAAACAGTATTAAATTTTTAATTTTTGGAGATGCTTTCTAAGTTTAAAAAAATGTATTTAAAAAAAAAAAAGAATGTAGCTAATCCTATAAATTCATTTCTGTTATGGGTTTATTTTTATGGTTTGGGGTTTCCTTCAACATTAGTTACAAGCTGTATATGAACTATGCTTCATTCAGCATTAAGTCTGCACAACAGCACTAAATTCTAGCTTTAGATAACCCACATGATATTTTTCTGAGTGCATTAATTAACACAAGTCAGTTTGCACATGATCAAGGAACAAAAAAAAAACATATGTTAAAAAAAAAAATTGCAAAAATAAAGGCATCTGTAGTATAAATTACACAAGAATTATTGAAAAAGATGACAAGCGAACTTGTTAATTTTTACAAAGATCATCCTCCTTGACTTGTCTTCCATCTTATATCTTCCCACTGTTTTTCACTTACAGTATTTGTTTTAATGAAAAAAAAAAAAAAACCAAGAGAAGATTTTTTTAAAAAATTAAGTATAAAGTTGCTTGATCCAATGTATGAATCAACTGCCCAACAGCTACATTTTTCAGTTTGTTCAGAGCCTTCATCAACTCCTTGTAGCACTGTCAGATTTTATTAAATAGATAGAGAGAAGAAACGTTTCGGTACGTGAATTAAACAAATATATATATATATTTATTCACTTTACTTACCGCACACAAATATGACACTGATTTGATCACCTTACAAAGAGAGAATTTCTGTGCTTAACCACCTCTTTATAAAGCCAAATAAAGAAACATTGGAGGCCAACATACTTCTTAAGGCACGTACATTTTGAGAATATGCTGCACACTTCACACATGCCACATATTCCCACCCACAGAATATGACTGACCGGTTATTCACCTGTTACATGAATATATTGGTCAATTTTGGTTTTGTGGGTATACCCATATGTGGAAGCAGAAAGAATCTGATAAGGGGATCATATAATTATCAACTATTATGAGAAAGTACATCGGTGCTACCACTACTGATCAGAACGCTACTGCTACCAGGTGAACAACAGGCCCCTTACAAGCTGATAAAAAAGGAAGTTTTATTAAAGTCTTTTACTCAAAGAGTAATTTAGTAATGCCCGCCCCTCCCCTACCAGCCTTAATAATGGTACCTGAAGTAGAAGCATAACTAACTCAAATTTTGAAATAGTGAAATACTTTCTAGGCAAGAAAAGCAATATTAACTGAAATGCAGTACAGGAAATAATTCTTACATTATAGTAGCTTTCTTTGGATTCCTATTTGCCAGATCTCATGACCACTCTAAAGGTAAGTTAAAGTTAGAGTATTCCACTAGGCATTTATGCTACAGATTAAATGCCAGATGGATGTTTGATACCAAATTTTTGTATTACAGGCTTCTACTGACAATGTGTCAAAGCAGTATGGAGCTTGCAACGTTACAATTATTTTCACAAGCTCTTATTACCTTATAATACGTACACGCATATATTATATCAATATTGTATCAAAACAGTAATTTAAGATTTCTGGACACTTTGTGTGGTTGCATTTCTGAACAGGCTTAGATTTCTTGGGAATTTAAGCTTCCACTTCATTTTTGGGTGGAATTTTTGTTTGAGAATTATTTCCTTTGTAATAACATCCAATTGACCAACAGTGAATTTTGTACATCCATACTGCTGCACTAAGAATACTCTCTAACTGCTATATGCCATACAAACAGTATAAAGCAGAGAACAAATAAACTTAAGTTTCATTCACTTCTCACCTTCAAATTCTCTCTTTTGACTGCATGTTACATTTTGTATTTTCTATCTGCATGCATGCACGTACCAGAGATACCTATACTAAAGGATATCTCTATTTGAATGCATCCACTGTGATAGGTATTTCTCTAAAAAGAACGGTTCTGTGATAACAGCTATTTTTGCAGCAGTTCTTCTGTCAGATGCACTTTCAGTTAGAAAAAGACTGTAGCATACAATTTTCTCCTTGAAAGAAATTCTTAAAGAATGGCTCTTTCAAATCGGCAACCACATTATGTCATCTCCTATGGAAAAGAGTCAAGCTACTCTCAGTAAAAGGTTGGGCCAGATACACTGTCAAATAGTGAAGAATACAGAGTTCTGCTGAGAACAAATATTAGAGATAATGGTATATTTACTTCTGTACAAATTGTAGCTTTAACTGCTGAGCACAGGAGCAGGTGGCACTCACACCCTGAAGCAGTAACTGAGAAATTCTCCAGTATATAATCTCCATTATGCACCAGAATTAACATCAGAAAAAGTATAATGAAGGTAAACAAAGGTAAACAAAAGCAGCTCCACAACACCAGTATTCAAACACATGCTGCGCTCAAGACTTCAGAGGAAAGATACTACAGTATCTTTCAGCAGTTACAAACAGTTACTATAGTTACAAACTACAGTATCTTACAGCAGTTTAAAAACAAACACCAGGATTTTTGTAGGTCCATTTTGCAGGCAACTGAACACTACCCATTCTAAGAAAATCCATACATACTTGAGAGTGTGTGCTACACTACTGAAATAGAAGGCTACTCACTCAGAGAAGACAGGTTGATTCTTCAGTGTAGTGTTAAGCTTATCAAACAGCTCTGTAAAAAGCAGTTTGAAGGATAAGCTAGCTAGAAGACATCATAGACTCAATTTTGGTCTTGCCTCTTACACTGGCAAAGCCTAACCAATTTCAGATAATAGAAAAGAAGCATCTGGCATTTTTTTTTTTTTTTTTTTTTTTTTCTTTTTTTGTCATCTAGCATATCTAGCAGTATGCTTCAGACCATCCCCTTTATGAAGACAGTAACAAAACAGCAACAAAAACAACAAAAGGGCTACAGGAGAGGTTCATTTCTTTGGAGGTAAAAACAGTTGAATTACTGTAACTATGATCAGTAACCTAGTAACTTTTTCTCCCAGTCACAAGGTGAACAACAAATCCTTTACATGAAGTTGAGAAATTACCTAGATATCTCTGCTAGAATCACACTTTACAACACCTACAAGCCCACAGTCAAGCTGCTCACATGTGCTATATCAGGCACGGGTAAAAGCAGCTGTATTTCCAAAATACATGAACTAGAAACTAAAATTAATATTGAAGATTCCAAAATACCTTAAAGAAACATTTAAACTAATGACAAAACTCTAATATTAATAATGCAATGTAAGAAGTCAAGGAAAACCAGACCATACATGAAAATTTAAATGAACTTTTGAATTGCCATAGGCAGTGTTACGTAACTGGTAAACTCTTGACCACAGTTATCTATTAGAATTAAATCATACAGCTTCACTGTGCTCAAACTGATAACCCAAAGCTATAGTGAAAGCAGCAATGGAAGTGACTTAACACTTCATTTTGAACATAAACCTAGATTCTCTTTTTCGACGTTATGACACTGGCTTTTTTAAACTATTGCGCAAAAGATGAAGGTAGAGTTACTTTAAATATTTAAACCCAGGTAGGCAATTGGCAATTCAATACTGTAATGCTAGCAATTAAAAAATTGGAACCATCTGAACAAACATAGTAAACATAAAGAACAAAAATCACAACCAATTAAGATACTACTGTTCTGAGGTGGGAAGTTTATTTCTGAAAGAAGAGATGAAAAAAAGTCTCTAACCACCATGGAGGCTGGAAGTCCAGGAAATGAAAACAATTACCCACTGTTACAATCATTTCAGAAGATGTATTTATTTAATAGAAAGAAAAAGAAGGAAAAAAAAAAAAGGAGAAACAAAGGTTTTTAATAAGTAGTTTTCTCACTTCTACACTAGCAGCAGTGATATCACAGCATCTTCACAGATATCTATTCAAATCTTAAAAGCACTCAAAACTTCAAGCTAACTTTGAGTCCATAGGCACTGCCTCAACTGCCTCAGACTTCTGCAAGACAGATGGAATCAGTTACCCAACCTCTTGAATTCACTTGACATTTCCCAGTTTCAGGCTTAGTCTTTGAACTTTGAACTGTCTTTTGAACTCATTTAGATGAAGTATTATATGCCCCATGACTTCTCTCAGCAAACTTTCACTGCTAAATATTCCATAATATTCCATACAGTTGGATTCCTAGGAGTTTGACCTCTTGAAAGAGGGACATGATAAATGGAGACTAAGTCGCTGAGGCACTGCCACAAGTACATGGCTGACAATTGAAACATCGTATCTTCCTTGAGAAGTGGACACACTGTAAACAGTCCATCCCACTGAGTTACTGAAGCTCAGAAGCTAAGCAGCACAAAATAGGCAAGACAGGCATACATACACACACAAAAAAGGGGAGATGCAAGAGAAAGTAAATTAGAAGTATTAAATAGCTAAGTAGGAGACCATGAATTCAAATTTGCATTCTGTCTTAATGAACAAGTACAAGGTTTTGTACGAGCAATGGTTTTGTAACCATTACTGCAAAGATAAGACACAAAAGTCACAGCAGGAGGAAACAAAGAAAAACAATGTTACTTCATCATAAAACCCTTAAGTTACCAGAATGAAAGCCATGATGACTGTCAGGACACACAAAGAATAACAGGAGCCTCAGCACTTCCAAAGAAAACACCAGATCAAAACACCAGTCAGTCACTCCAAAATACCCTTGATTGGTAGACAGCTATATGTAGTATAGCATATAGCTATTGTATATAGCTAACACAAAGTTAAGTCTTCAAATTCAATTACAATAACTAATATTGTGCAATTACTTGGAAAAAAAAAAATGCAGCAGAGCTGATCACTAAGTAAATTATCTTGTCCTCTCTGTCTGGGAAAACATTCCCCAAGTCCACTCTCAAAAACAAAACTCTTTAGTTTCTTCATCTGTATTTCAGTTGTGTTTATCACAACTGCAATTTGATGCTCTGCAAACCTTTTTATATGACAACATCCTGCACAGGAAAGAAACAATGGAAGAGGAAACAAATTATATAAAGACAGAGAAATCAAAAGTTGCAAATACAAGTGTTTCAGAACACCTAATAGATGCATTTATATAAATCATCACATGATTTAAACAGAGCTCCTATCGACCTCAATGAGAATAACAGTACATGGTATTTCTGCAAGTCAGTCTTTATGCTCAACACAAAAGAAAAAATCCCAAACATTTATAAAATGCCCCTAAAAATGAAAGTCCAGGGGACTTTTAGCAGAAGTAATGACTGAATTCAGCTCCTTAAGGCTGAATTCAACTACACTTTTCTTAGTTACACTGAAAAAGAGATTCAGTCCTTAAATTCACGTATTGTGCTTGTTCAAGGAACAACTTTAGAAGCAATTAATGAAGAAACAATGAAAGAGGAGCTAGGAAAAAAAATAATTACTTAGCATTAAAATAATACAAAGCCAACAGGCCTGAAATTATTTCTATTAAATAATTTGACAATAACATAACAGCGCCTAAAATCAATTCCTTTAAACTGATGTTATAATTTTTCTTCGGAATAGAAAAGTCAATAATTGCTGTTAGTGTAACATAAACCCATAAGAAAATAACACAGTAAGTAAATGGCATATTTCCTACTGAAAGTTTTGCAATGAAAATGGATGCTAGGCTATTAAATATACTTCCTGTAATGAAAGAGTCACTGAGACATCAAGATTCTGAATACAAAATTCAGCAGTTATAATTCCTTCCTATAAATACCAAACATCAACTTATCAAATCCTTACCGCATCACATATTCCCTGAAATCTGATAGAACATGCATAGAAATTTTAATGTTGAGGGTTCAGTCCTCCTAGACTTGCACATTATCATCTACTCCCACATATCACTTAAAATCCTTAAGCTCATACATATGGATGTAACAAAATCATCAGGGAGTAAACAACTTCAGAACAATTTTAATTCAGTGTTTAGATAGTCTAGATAGTCCTTGAACCTTTAGCTGTCAAATTTGCTTCTTTTTTAATTTAAAAATTGCTACTTATAGACATATTTATGACTCAAATAAAACATGCAATGCAGAGCAATAGAATTAACACAGATAAGGAATCTTTTTGAGCCATAAGTAGACTTAGTGGTCATTTACAATGTAGAAAGATCACCTGTGCCCCTATTTATTTAATCCCCTCTATAAGCAAATTGTGCAGTGAAATTCTGAACTCAAAGAACCACTAAATACTGTATGTATACAGACCATGACTTGCAACAGGCTGCACATGGAGCCCACTGAAAGAAGGAAAAGAGCAACAACCTTGACTCTAGAGGAGAACTACATACTATGCTTTGAAGACTAAATCCTGCAGACAGCAAAAGGAAAATACGTTGTCTATCAGTATCCTATCAACAGCAATCCAGAATTCGCCTGGTAGGTGAGTTTCTGTGTACACCATTTTTTTTCCCTACAAATATAGTATACATACATACCTACAAACTTTGATCAATTTTATTTATCTAAGTGCCTTTGTTTTAGTACGTCTTCCACTTACATGAAATGGATTAAGTACAAAGAAACGTAAGGGTATTTTATACCAGCCTCTTTTGAAATCATCACAGATGCCCTATTTCAAATATTTTGCAGCTATCCAAATGAACTGTACAACAACAACTTCTCATTCAGTTTAAGATACTATACATTTAATAACTTCCTACTCCTCCAAATCCTCACAAAGTTTTTTTTCCACACTAAAGATAATGTTTGAAGAAAAAAAAAAAAAAAGTGAAAAACATCCAACACTGTTGTTTCAAAAACATTTTCACTTAATGTTATGCAAAAGGAAGTTATATAAGATATTCAAACACAAAAGAGTAACCCATTGGGTTTTTCCAATTATACAGTTGAGTCCATTTAGTAGCTTTAAAAGAGATTCAAATTCCTCAAAATGCAACTGAAGTTGAACCACTCTGAGGTGGACACTGTTCCCCCTTGCACACATACATATTCTGAAAGTTGAAAAATCAACAACAAAATAGTCCTTTCCATCCATACAAAGTTGAGACCGAAAGCTTTCATTACTTTTAAGTAATGAATAACCGCTTTCTTATCAAATAATACGTTGCTCTGGATTGCATGTCCACGTTTCATATTGTATTTCTTTTTCCTTCAAACGCAGCCTACATTTCTAATGCAAAATGGAGAGATTTTATTTGGGACCTAAAGGAGGGATTAAAAAAAAAAATCCCAAAGCAGTATTATAGAAGCAAACAAGAAAAGCCTTCAAAACTTCACACAGAACTGGTACTGGTGAAATGACCACTGAGCTCTTCTCAAGTTCATTAATACACACGATCTTCATAGATGATTAAAAAAGAAAAAGACGTAATTACAAGGAGATGGGGAATATTTTTGCAAGATAAAGTCAGATGAAAACATAGATCAACGTCTCCAGTGCAGAATGAAGAAAGTACAGTTCTTTGGCAAGGTGTCATAATGCTTCCCTTATAGCTTAAATACACTGCTTTTCTTTGCCTGTTTCCCTGAGCATGACGTAAAACATCCACCATGCAGCTTTTAACAAACAGAGTCCTGCCCCTTTTCTCCCCCTCCTCTCTCTCTCCAGGAGAGCTCAATTTATTCAGCATCTTGTCTACTTTCAGTTTCTGTGGATGTTCATTCAGATTGAGGAATGCACAGCGAAGAGCACTACAAGAACACATCCCAAAGCAAGGACTTCTGGTATGAAATGCTTACATCTTTCTACACAACTATCACAGAAGACATCCTAAGTCTGTTGTAAAAAATATTAACAATAATAATATAGAATAAAAACTTGAAGAGATTATCTTTCTGTTTAAGATGTTCACTCAGAGTGGAATTACCCTTGAGAAGTCAGGCAGGTTCCTCAGTCCTCACCAAATTACTATCCAGACTTATTCAAAACAAAATGGCTTTACAGCAGTTACTCCAATACCAAAAGAAGCTAAAGTTTCCAAAGTTGTCTTTTGACTGAGGAAATAAAAAGCAACAGAAATAGCCATGACAATCAGCACAGAAACTGCTGAAATGCTTCTGCCAAAACTTATTTGATAACAGAGTTTTCCACTGTGAAAAATTTATGTTCAAAGGCAGCACTGTATGTTTTACTTGATCAGTTGTTTCCTATCTGCAGCATGGAATCTTCAGTTATGCAACTGAAGCCCTTCCAGCCCCACGTCCCAGCAGCTCACTAATACCACTCTATCTCCTGCGTGACATTAAACAAGCAACCCTAAAACAAAAATGAAGTAATTCTCAACAGAGGCGATGAGGAAATATATTTACCTGAAGCATCTCCAACTTTAAAATCACTGTCATCAGAGCTATCATAATCTAAAGCTTCCAGCAGGGAAGCCGCCAGAGGCTTCACTTGTCTCCTCTTCGAGCTGCGGTCCACTGCAGAAAGAAGCACAGTACTCCTATTAGACAGCACAATGAACACGCAGCGTGCTTAGACGTGCGGCGTTAACCCGACGGGGCAGCCCGCACACTAGTGCTGCCGGCACCGGCTTCACCGTGCCAGGGACGGGGGAACCACTCACACCCCGGGCACCGCGTATAGCCGGCACCGGCACCACCCCGGGCCCGGGCTGGCGAAGGGAGCCGCTTCCCTGCAGCACCTCCAGGCGTTCCGCCATCCAGCGCCGGAGATACGACACGGCAGGAGGACCCGACCCGCCCGACATCCCGGAGAGACGCTGGGCTGCCCCCGTCCCGCCGAGCGCCTCCGCGCTCTCCCCGGGGAAGGGGCGGTAGGAGCCGCTGAGAAGCACTTACTAAAGGCTACGCAGGTGAGCGGCGGCAACTGGGAACGTGTCCAGGCGGCGGCAGCGCGGCGCCGCCTCAGCCCCTCGGGCGCGGACCGCTGAGCCTCGGACCCCCTCCCCAGACAATGGGCACGGCGGCGGCACGACGGCGACCCGGATGCAGACCCTCGCCCGCCCGCCGCCGACCCAACAGCGCATGTGCGAAGGCGCTGCGGCTGCGCGTAGCGAGGTGAAGGCGAGGAGGAGGCGGGTGCTGCCCGTAGTCCGCCCGGTTGCAGCCAGGAGCTTCATCTCCGCGTCGGGGGGGCGGGGGCTCCGCGGGGCTGGGTGCGAGTCGAGTGGTCCGTCCGTCCGTCCGTCCGGACCGGCAGAGTCCTGTGCGCGTTTACGGTGACTTTCGAAATCCTGATGATTGGGAAGAGCATCTCAACAAAAATCACTAGGGTGTCCCTCGGTTCCCCCGTGTGGAAGATTGTTTTATTAAACAGCGGTGCTAAGTACCCAAAGAGTTTACGTGGTTAGTCTTCCTCCTTTGAATACACCATTCCTAACTCTGGTTCTATCACGCCTACCCAAATGCACTCTCTACCCAGGCAATCTGGTGTTCCCTTCAAAACTCTGATCACCTTCCTGTTTCCTTAAGGGTTGCATACGTCTTAGCTTTTCACACCTGGAATGTTTTATTATTATTATTATTATTATTATTATTATTATTTTGTTGTTATTATTATTATTATTATTATTATTTCCTGTTCATTGGTATCCCCATCCCACTTCACATATAATTTCAACCCTAATATGACAAGTAGAGGGACTTCATCTGTGGGCTCATACTGGAAATGTAGCCAGAACTGGCAGGATAACTCAGAAAGATTACAGGTAAAGGTGGAGAAAGAGTGGTGGAAGATCTTTCAATTCCTCTTAATGTGAAAGTTGAAGTAGATGTACATCAGAGAGTATAGATCTTCCAGGTTTTGAATCAGCTTGATTCAATACTAGCTTGTCATGCTAGTACTATTCCAGTTCTTACCTGCACATTCTCATTCATCAACAGAAAAAAAAGAACCAACACATCAATAAAAATACAAGTGTAAAGTACTTAATATTTATTCACTGTTTCCTCAAGCTTCTGTGCACTACAAAGATAGCACTTAGCAGCAAGTCCTTCTAATTCAATAATTATAACTATATAAAAAGTATAGCATAGAAAAAAGCTTAAAAACAAACAAACAAACAAAAAACAGTCTGTAATATTATTCTGTGGAAGCTTCTGGCTATTAAAGCAGCTATTGAATGATAAGTACCCCTTCAGACATTTTAACCTCCTTTAGTTGATTTGGATTGTTTCACGTAAAGGGAAAAGAAAGGAGAGTTCATGCTCCAAATGAAAGAAGCCTTCAGAGGAAATGTCTGACCTTTGTCAATCTCAGCAGATAGCCAAGTATATGAAAATGTGCAGCTGCCTTCCTGATTTAAGAAATAAGGTGTTAATGGCACACTGCTGGGAGCTGGGCACTGTAAATGCCCACATTAAATAGATGGTGTTTAGGTGTCGGTTTAGCACCTTTGAATACTATTCTTGTAAACGCACAAGAAATTATCTTAAAAGATAATTTTTAGAGTGAAGTTACAAGGAGCTGAAATAGCACATCCACTATGAAAATGTCATGGCAACTGCATCACTAGCACAACATCTAAAAAATTTCTAGAAATTCTTCAGTATATCAGGTCATGTCAAATACATCAGGTCTTTCAATTATCTCCACATTCTAATGGTTCTCTCCAGGCCTGTACTTCAGTGCACAGTCGACTACAAAAGCAGGTGTCTGAATCTCCATTTCAGTGCAACTCTTCAACTGCTACAGAAGGAGAGAAGATAATATCTTCTAACTGTACTTTTGCCCTAAGAAAAAAGAATCTTTGTCATGATTCTGTAAAGACAATTTTAGAGGGAGTTATACAATACCAAATCAGGAGAGAATATGATTGTATTCACATAAATTGACTTTAAAATATCATCTTTAGTTTAATGAAAGTGTCATGTTTTCAAAGAAAGAAATACAATAATACAAAATTTCCTCACCTAGAGAATAAACTGAAGAAAAGGTATGTTTTTAACTCATCCATCAACTGTGAATGGTGAAATATTATGAGGAACTATATCTATTTTTTTTTCCTGTCAGTGAGCAGACAGTTAAAGCCATGACCTACCTGTCTAAATCCAAACAGCAAACTCTTTTTTTATCCATCAAAACATCACCATCTGTAGTAGGGAGACTGACCTTTTCAAGTACCTTCCCAAAGCGAATTATTCCAGCTTTCACTCTTTAACTGCACCATTACAGCAAGCACCTCTCTGTGATCTCTGCTCTTTTATCTCATATTTTATGGCAAAATATAAAGAGAAAAAGACTGAATCAGATATATTTGCTATTTTAAATCACAAATAGAGGAAAAACCAGCATCAACAGTCTATGAACAATAAGAGTTTGAAAGAATAAAGTAAGTCAAATACTGCCAGCAATATTCCCTTCATGTACACCAGTATTTCATGCACTCCTTAAGCCAGTCTCAGCCTCATTTGATTAATTATGGATTTTGTTGATTATATGGTTCTCATGTTGTAAAAGATCTGAGAAAAGTAAAAGTTGGTCATACACATTTGCAATAGAAAACTTTCTGAAATATAAATAAATAAATAAATAAATAAACGAAGCGTTAAGATTGCAAGCATTAAGAAATATTAGAAATAGTGCTGTCATTTAGCTCTGTCACACAGAGCAATGTGTGTCTTCTTTCATTTTTAGATAGAGCTTTGCCCCACTTTCCCTTTTACTTGCTGGTATGGGATGCAGGTGTTAAACCCATGGATTGGCAAAGATGGATTTGTCTGTTTCTGCTGCAGACAGGTCTCGTGTAAGTTGCCCATGCTCAAATGGAGGCTCACAGGCAGTCAACTCCTACTCTCTATTCCCAGTGCTGAAATGCAGACCTCAGCAAGCCTCTGTGTGGAGTCCTAGTCCTGCAGCTCCTTCACCAACTGCTTATTTTCACTTAATAAAAATGCCATTTTGTAAATCTTTGTCATCTCAATCTTGACAAACCTAAAGCAGAGACCTTCCTCCTTTTCCCTGGTCACTTATCTCCTTTTGCAGTCACAGTGACACCACCCCTGCCACTCATGTGCACGCAAAGGACATTATTCTCAACACAGACCTCACTGCAGATCCTGCCACTAAAGGCACGTCTTAAAGATTCAGTGCAAAACACATCTAGCTGCAGCTTTCCTATCTCCTTATTTAGCAAAAAGTCATGTCTAGGCTCATCTCCCTTCTCATTTACATCAATATTCCTTTGTCTGATTTTTGAAAGTGCAATTCTGATGTTGCCATATCTATTGTAATGATTTTTTTTCTCAGTTTCTACCATGTTCCTTTTTCATTTTATCCCTCCAGTGATTTCCCCTCGTCTGCTGCATCTGTCATAAATTACTTGGGTCTGATTTCAATACACTTCACAGACTACTCTTTCTTTTGCCTGCCATTTATTTATGGCAGATGACATTTGACGTACATATTTGTTTTGTACAGTGTATTGCCTCCTGTTCTCTGTTACATTTTAAGACAACCATTTTTTTCTAGGCATCCTTCGTACTCAGAATGTGTTCCACGTAAATACCTGCAAACTCAGTTTGTGTTTCCTCTCAAAACACCCTTGTACTACCACACTTCCCAAATATGTTGTAAGGTTCAATGGATACTGTCTCTCCTATTGTCTCACAGTTAACTTTTACTGTTCTGTCATCGCCATCCCTTTCTGTTTTTCGTCCTGTGCTTACATTCCAAAATCTGTTTGGAATAGTATTATTTACTATTATTTATTTATTACTCAGTATTTCCATTTTTGCATTGTTTTTCTCTCTATGATTTATGTGATGTAGTAGAACTTTGAGTCAGGATTGAAACCTGTAGACATAAAAGCTATTAAAAAAGCTAAAAGGAATAGTAAGAATTTTTATTTAAAATTTCCATTTTAATATAATTTTATTTGATATTCAGACAGCAAGCTCATCAAATAAGCAATATTTTCTTTGTCTGCTAAGTGTATATAATTTAGCTATATAATAAAAAAAAATAGTTAATAATAATACATAAATAATAAAGCATTAGACCATAGAGGTGTTGTATTGGTTCAGATTCAGAGAAAGACAGGGAAAGGCAGGTACAGAATAAGTATGTATGATACTTTCTACTGATTTTCCAACTTCCAATTATTTTCAGTTTTGAGACTTTCTTGATCCAGGTGTGCGTTGTCCACTTAGTGACCTGTAATGAACCTTTCTTCTGAGAATCTTTCTCATAAGAATCTTTTTTATGACATAATTTGGCACAGAATTCCATAAAATTTCCTATGAACCTACCATCCTGTGTATGGCAACAGTATCATTTTGCATTTTTGTAACCTGGCTTTTATGCTGTTCTGTTCCATCTGTTAGCTCCTCCCTTTTCCAGGCTGAGGAATCCCAGCCCCTCAGTCACTGCTGACAGGGAAGCTGTTTCATTTCTTTGGTAATTCTTGTTTTCCTTGAGTTTTTTTCAAACTTAATACGTAAGTTACTCCAGAAGTAATGCCTGTGGAAACTACAATAGATACAAAGAGCACAATAACGCCAATAGAACAAATTATCAGCTACAAAACACTATGTTTCAACATAGGCACCATGCTTAGCTAATTATTTTTGCCAGCCAAGAACAAGTTCCTGTGCCAGTGGAGATGACCCACTGTTTCACAGTTTTACTAGCCATTGCCTCACTGTGTTCATATCCATTGTTTGGTCTCCATAAGCATTCAGGAAGTGTTGATGAATGTCACTAGATGCAATTTTTTCTGCATCGAGTAATTCAGTGACACATCTTTGCTTCATACACACTTCCACATCAGTCGCCATTCTGTCAGACTGCCCCTCTGCTACCATCTATCACACAGGAATAAAATGTAATGCAATACCAGCAGGAAGATTCAATCTCTACTGCCACAACTCCAATATCATTATCTGATGTCATGGGCCAACGTGGTGAAATAGAAGGCATTAC